AAGTTTTTTGCGGACAGACATACGGACTGACAGGGCGTAAAATTTGTCTCCCCTGCTTTCGGTGCATTATTGGCTGAGAGTCTGAGATGCAATTTTTTTATTGTCTACCGGTCAAATATCCGAATACAATATACGAAAAGTTCACAAGTATTCACATTTTAAAACAAGACGCGTTTCTGAAACGCTGATGCTCCCGTATGACAACTATGGCGAGGTTTGAAGTTTCTCAGAGTCAGATGAAAGTTTAACTCTTAGGTTAAGGTCAAAAGGTCATAATTGTTTGTACCCAATTGAAGGTCTTCTTGCAAGAAATACAACTGTGAAATATGAAAGCCCATAGTACTAACGTTTCAAAAGCTATGGTAAAGGTTAAATTTTTTTTAAGTGGGCCAATCTCTAAGATCAAGGTCAAAATTGTTGATATCCAAAGAAAGGTCTTGCCACAAGAAATACTTCTTTTAAAAATGAAAGCCTTAGTACTAACGGTTCAAAAATTATGACCAAGGTAAAAGTTCTAAAAAGTGGGCCAAACTCATAGGTCAAGGTCAAATGGTAAAATATTTTTATACCCATTCATTGTAAATTCTTGTCGCAGTAAATACACATGTGAAGTATGAAAGCCCCAGCACCAACTGTTCCAAAATTATGGCTATGGTTAAAGTTTGGAAATTGGGGGTTATAAGGGGGTCAAACTTCAACGTCAAGGTCACGATGTCAAATTTTTTGGTAAAAAGAAAGGTCTTGTCGTAAGGAATAAACTGTGAAAGATGAAAGCCATACCCCCACCGACTAAAAAGTTATAGACAAGGTTAATGTTTTTGCGGACAAAAAGAGAGGCAGATAGACAGGCAGACGGACGGACAGACAGGACAAAAACTATATTGTCCCGTCTCTTCGATTACGGGGGCATAAAAATATAAAAAGTCCTGTGCCTTCTGGAGCAAAGTTATGGCCAAATGGCCAAGTTGAAATTGATATGTAAGCCAAACTTCTAGATCAAATTCATGAAGTCAACAATGATATACCCGGTAGGTTGCTTTCTTTTCGTTTGAAATGGGTTGTCATAGGTATATATGAAACATTATATGAAAATCCATCTTCTCTCATTCAAAGGTCATTACTTATGTTAAAAAATGGAGAAAAACTGAAGCCCCCACTTCAAGGTTAAGGTTTCAAGGACAAAAACAAAAGTTCATTTGGAAAGGTCTTGATAAAAGTATAAATAATGCACTTGTCAAATGTGAAACCTTATCTTCTCTCATTTAAAAGTTAACCGCAATATATACAATGTTTTGAAAATTAATTAAGTCAAACTTCAAGGTCAAGGCCATGGCGTTTTAAGCTAAAGTGCTCTCGGAAACATCTTTGCCACAGTTAAAGTGCGTCGTTATTATGAAAGGCCTATTTTCTCTTATGCAAAAGTTATCACTGAAGTTAAATTTAAAAAAAAAGGCCAAACTTTAAAGTCATGGGGGGGGGGGGATTAAACCACGAGCAATTGACGTTATTTGGTCCCAGGAAACTTTAATGTTATGGATTTATACTTAGTGACATTTTTTTATAAGACAGATGTTTTGGAAAAGAGAGATGTTTTTTTTCTATCTGGATTAAAGTACCCTAAATTTTATTAAAAAAAACCCCTGTACATGGCCATTTTTAAAGGCTTAACAATTAAGAAATACAAAACACTCCTTGCTTGCATTGTCGTTTTCAAGTATTAGTCATACACGTACTATAGTACTGCTGCATGTCGTTTTGTTTTAGACTTTGTGAGGAGGTCGATTAATTATCCCCCACGTTTTCTTGTTTATGTTGGTGATTGGTTAATATATTGTTAATGCTCTTCTATTCAAGGTCGATGCTGTTAAAATTAATTAAATATTAATTTTTCTCTCTTTTTTGCCTGGTAACATCGATTAATATAATTTAGATATGACGTCATCGTCCCACGCTTTCGCGAAAGTGAGGACATACTATATCTTCTTTGTCCGTCTATCTAATAAAAGATAGGACTTTCATATTTCACATGAACATTAACTGTGACAAGACTTTGGCCTGTACTTTGATTTTTTTTCTATGTGACCTTGTCGTTTGAAGTACTTTTAGGATTTTTATCTTCAATAACCTTGTCCATATATCTGTTGAATATTAAAATCTTTAAAAAACGACAAGCTAGTAAGGTCAAGGTCACATAAAAACAATTAATATAATGTAGATATGACGTCATTGTCCCCTACGTGCCTCCATATGGCAGCTAATGACAAAGATTAAAGTTTCTAGAATGGAAATAAAACACTACTACGTGCCTCCATATGGCAGCTAATGACAAAGATTAAAGTTTCTAGAATGGAAATAAAACATCAAGGTCAGGCAATCAAAAACGTGTTGTTACCCAAAACACAGGACTTCTTTATTTGAATATGAAAGCCAAACGCCAACTGTTTAAACATTATGGCCAGTGTTAAAGTTTTTTTTAAGTAGGTCAGACTTTAGATCAAAGGCAAAGGACAAACTTTTTGAATCGAAAGGAGGTCTTATCTCAAGGAGCTAATAAGCTAGTTAAATATAAAGTAAATACATAGTTCTTAATGTTCAAGTGTTATGGCCAAGGTTAAAGTCTTTTCAAAGTTGATCAAATTCTAAGGTCACTGGCAAGGTCAAAAAATCAAAAATATTTATGCCTACGCAAAGATCTTCTCACAATATAAGTAAATACACACGTGAAGTTTGAAAGCCATATCTCTAACTTAAAAAGTTATGGCTTAGTGTAAAGTTAAGTAATTTGTTGTAAAAGGTCAAACTCCAAGGTCAAATATATTGGTTCACAAAGAAAGGTCTGTCACAAAGAATATACATGTAAAAGTGTGAATTATGAAAAGTTATTGCTCCAACCAATCAAAGGTTATGGGCGAGGTTCAAGTTTTGCGTAAAAACAAACAGCTAGCTAGACGGACAGGGCAAAACCGATATACCTCCAAATCTGCAAAAATGATTTACCAAGATAATTTTTCAATTAATTGTAATTCCCCCGGGAGTAAATAAACCATAAAGATTTCTTTGAGGTATATCTTTATAAGGGAACAATCGAATAGATGTTTTTGTTCTCAGAATTGAAGATTCGGGAGTATATATATATAAGTTTTTGCCCTGTCCGTCCGTCTGTCAATTTGTCTGCAAAAACTTTTAACCTATAATTTTGTATTAATTACCATCCAGTAAATTCAAATACACGTACTAAAGTATGACATGAAGTGTCACTACTTGATAATTTCACACATATACATTTATTTATATCTACAGCACAGGAAATTTTGCACACCATCAGAACGTTTCCGCATCCACTTTGAGATAAGTAAAATATATATATTACATATATAATAAATATACACTATGTACAGTTTAAGTAGGTAAAATTCTTACACATGCAGAAGTAGTGTGTTTTTATGCGCCCGAATCGATAGAACGGGGAGCATATTGTTTTTGTTCTGTCTGTCTGTTGTCAACTTTAACCTTCGCCATAACTTTTGAACCATGAGGGATAGAGACTTCATAGTAGGTATGCTAGAGACTTCATATTTTGTTTGCATACTCCACTAATTAAGCTTTTTCAAAAGAACCCAAGATCAATGACCTTGTGACCTTGACTGTGACCTATAAGCTAAAAATAGTTTTTCGAACCTTCGCCATAACGTTTGAACCACAAGAGATAGAGAGACCTGAAGTTTTTTTTTTATGTTTCTCCTGATCAGAAAATTGAGGGCTCATATTTTTAGTCCCCTGCCGTTGAAATCGTATGGGGGATCTAGGTTTCCTCTTTGCCTGTCTGTCCACCTGTCTAGCTGTCTGTCTGTCAGCTGTCCCATTTGGTTACTAGACACAAAAACCGAGATGATTTTTAGTATGTAAATGTATCTTGATGAATTATAGATCGTTTGAATTTGATTTTCTTTCCGTTTCTTTGATTCTTTAAGGAAGTGCCTTTTTAATTTTGAAAGGGAACCAGATTACTCTTACCGATAGGGGACTAGTATTGCTAATGGCAATACTCTCAGAATGCGTGTTGGGTTTACTCCTCTGACTGTCTGCTACTAATCTTGGCCATAACTTTTGAACCATGGCTTCCACGGCTTCGTATTTCACGAGTCTAATTCTAGATCTTGTTAAAAGAGCAAGACCTTTCTTTGGGTACCAATATTTTTTTGTTTACATATTCCATTTGGAAATTCCTAAACATAACGCCGTTGAAGCAGAGTCAAATCACTAAATTGTAATGTAGTAATATAGTTTTCAAGAACAATACTACGTGCCTGGATCAACGAAAGAAAACCTATCAATCAATGAATATTTTCTTCTAGTCTACTACCGAGACAGCGAAAATATACTATGTGTAAGAAAAACATATCCTGTACAAACAGCATGTCATCTCTCTATGAGTACTGGTTACTGCAGTAACGGAAACTCGGTTAATGTTATACCAGAGAATACTTATACTTGAGATAACTGTACATTGGTACATATATATATAAGGACACGCGCAACATACTAGTAGATTGAACTTTATTGTCATTTCTCGGGAAAGATGAAGAGTTTCAATAATATATATTCAAGGATTTTTCATCAATTGATATCTAATCAAAACCTCTGGTAATGTAATATGCTAATTTTTTGAAAGGTCAAATGTCAAGGTCAGAAATTCATACTTTCTTTCTGTGTGTAACACTCTCATTTCCGGAAGATATCTTGCCTGATATTTTCATATGAGGATGTCTCTCAAAAAATTGCAATAAATCCTCATAATTGTTATCAAATGTTATTAAAATTTGACATTTTATGGCCTATAACTCCAATAAGGGTCTACAGATTTTGATGAAACTTGCTATGCATAGATATTGCTTTCCTTATTATGCACCCTCTGTCCAAACCTGGTTTTAATTCTGAACATATGAATGTCAGGAGATGTTCACTTTGCTGTAAAACAGCAAACAAAAGAAATAACAATCTTAGATTTTAACAGTTTAATTATTTTTAGAATTCACTTCCAACCTTATGAATTCATATTCACATGTAATTATTTTCAGACTCATATTTTCTGTTTCATATTAATTTAACCCACAGAAAAATTGATTTTTCAAGTTTTACTGTGGAAGTTTCAGTTTTTCAACTTTTTCTTCACAATATTAATAACTAGATCATACTTTCACTTTGAAAGCAATAATCCTTACATGTATGTCATTTCATAGTGACTTTCACATGTTGTTTTCCTTAGGTCAGTTTTTTAGCTTTATGGTACAGGGCGTCCACAACTTTGCCCATGTTCTGTATGGTTTCCAGAGAGTTCTCATAAGTCTTATCCACAGGTGTCTCATCAAACACGATAAGTACTCCTGCACCTTGATCCAATATACCTAGTATAGAAAGGACAACAATATCAATTCAATTACAGTAGAACTTCGATATCTTGAACACTGATATCTTGAATATCATGGATATATCGAAGTGATGTGGAAGTCCCCACTTTTTAAAGTATTTTACCCTCGGTACTTCAAATATTTGGATAGTTTTTGTCTCAATCCCATCAGGTTCGGGATCATTATGTTTGACAGTATCTGATAGATGATTAGTATTTGCAAAAAAGGTTTTCTAGATCTGCTCAAAAATTGAGTCAATGAAAAAACATTTTACTTCTTCTCTTTCATCATTTACCAAAGAATCAATCTTCACTTACCATGAAATTTTTTATCCAAAATCATTTGGGACAATTTCTTCTCAACTGTGTCCTAAAAAAATTTTGCAAATGAAATGTCATTAATCATTTGCATCCATGTTTATATTCCATAAATGTTTCATAAAAGAAAACATTTGCAATGTACATATTTTCCTTTGAATTAATCCCTGGGTAGAAAATTATATGGATTCAATTCTTTAATTGCCACTACAGGCCTTAAATGTGCTTGAGGTAAATTGGAACAGAAAAGGATTTATGATTGCATGATACCCTAAATTATCAGCACATGGAAAAAAAAAAGTACCTCTACAGTAATTAATAAATCATGAAGGACTACATGTACCTGTCAACCTGCAGGCCTCTAAGATTGCTAATACCCTAAATTAACGGTAAATGCAAAACAAGAGGCCCACGGGCCTTATAGGTCACCTGAGCATTATGCAACAACTTTCCAGTTATTGAATTTGATTAATGTTTTAAGCCAGATGGTATATGACATTCACAATTTGAAAGAGGCACCATTGATCATCATAACAATACACTTAGCAGTTGCTTAGCTTGGTTACTGAATACGCAGGGTAGGGGAACAAAAATGCATTCCAACTAATCAGTAGTGCCCCTAACACTGTGACCTAAACCCCTGACCCTTAAGGTCCACACATTGCACAAATTTTAAAAAGGCACCCTTAATATCAATTAATAAATGGTTTATAAATACAAAAGAGCAGATTTCAAACAATAAATTCATTTTCAGTATATAAGTAGAGCCCCCACCCCACCCCTGACCCTGGGGCCTTGAAATTCACAAGTCTGCAAGATTAGGGCCCTTGCTGATAATAACTGTAAAGGTAGTTCATCTGCTTTATACCCAGAGACAGAGAAGAAAATTTTCAAATATTTAATGTATTTTCACTATATTATCAATAGAGCCCCGCCCCCCTAACACCAGAACCCCTGACCCTGGGTCCATAAAATTCATAGTTTTAAAAGAGGCATTCGTGCTCATCATAACTATGTACTTAGTTTATTTAATTCCTAGGAGCAGAGTAGAAGATTTTCAAAGAATTCATGTATTTTCAATACTAGTATATAATCAATAGAGCCCCCCCCCCCCAACACCACAACCCTTGACCCTGGGACCATAGAATTCACAATTTTGGTAAAAACACTCTTGCTCATCATAATTATGCACTTAGTCAGTTTATTTAATACCTTGGAGCAGAGTAGTAGATTTTCAAAGAATTCATGTATTTTTACTATATAATCTATAGAGCCCCACCCTAACACCAGAACCCCAGACCCTGGGGCCATAAAATTCACAATTTTGGTTGAGGCACTCTTGCTCATCATAACTATGCACTTAGTTAGTTTATTTAATACCTAGGAAGATAGAAGATTTTCAAAGAATTCGTGTATTTTCACCATATAATCAATAGAGCCCCCCCTCCCTTACACAGGAACCCTTGACCCTGGGGCCATAAAATTCACAATTATGGTTGAGGCACTCTTGCTCATCATAACTATGCAATTAGTTAGTTTATTTTATACCTAGGAGCAGAGTAGAAGATTTTCAAAGAATTCATGTATTTTCACTATATAATCAATAGAGCCCCCCCCCAACATCATGACCCTTGACCCTGGGGCCATAAAATTCACAATTATGGTAGAGGCTCTCTTGCTCATCATAACTATGCACTTAGTTAGTATATTTAATACCCAGGGGCAGAGAAGAAGATTTTCAAAGAAATCATGTGTTTTCACTATATATAATCAATAGAGCCCCGCCCTAACACAAGAACCCCTGACCCTGGGGCCATAAAATTCACAATTTTGGTAGAGGCACTCTTGCTCATCATAACTATGTACTTAGTTGGTTTATTTAATACCCAGGAGTAGAGAAGAAGATTTTCAAAGAAATAATGCATTTTCACTATATACTTATTTAGCCCCGCCCTAGCACTAGAACCCCTGACCCCAGGGCCATGAATTTCACAATTTTGGTAGAGGACTAAATGTTGATTACAATCATGCAAACAGTTTGACTGCTTGATGTCCAGGAGTTAAGAAGAAGATTTTCAAAGATTGCACTAATTTTAGTGGTTTTGGCCCCACCCCCCAGGCCCCAGGGGGGCAGGGACAATGAAATTCACAATTTTTGTTCCCCTTCACCCATAGATGCTATATGCTAAAATTGGTTGAAATTGGTTCAGTGGTTTCAGAGAAGAAGCTAAAAATGTTCAAATGTTAACGCACGACGAACGACGCACGACGAACGACGCACGACGACGGACGAAAACGGATAGCAATAGGTCACCTGAGTTTACTCAGGTGACCTAAAAAGTACCTCAGTCTACAGTTTTAATAAATCACAAATGGTTACATGTACCTGCCATCCTGAAGGCTTATAACATTGTATTTCAAACGCATACTGAGATTTCCTGTCTCTATTTTTTCTACTGATTTTTTTAGCTCCTTGAAAATTACTTGTTGCTAAGGATATATCAGAGTGGAAATGCATGTGTCAGTAACAAAAAGTCAGTCACTGTATTGTGCAGTTGTAAGAACATTTGCTTTAAAGTTGCAGAGCAAGGATATGATCCGTACATCAGGGGTTCGAATCCAATATGGGACATGGAGACCGGTCGTTTGGGTGAGACCGTATAAACCGTATAAGACCCCCTGTCACAGAAGATGCTGACACGATAAACATTCCCCATTGCTCAATGCCCCTGATGAGTGCTTAGCTTGTATATATATGTATAAATTTGCAGCTCTCAACTGGCAAGTGGTGGCGTCTCCATATGAGTGAAAAATTCTCATGAGGGATTTTAATCAACAAACAAAACAAAAAAGGCAAAGATTATATGAACGGGACACTTACTATTGGCAGTTTGATCAAATTTGCAACATGTTGGACCTGAAACAAAAACAGAATTTGATACAATAACTTCAGACATGATGTAATATTTCAAAAGACTTTATAACAGGGGGCAAAAAATCTATTGTTTTGAGCAAATCAGTTACACATGAACATCCTCTAATATTAAATTTTCTTTTAACTTCATTTTTAAATTACTTGGTAAATCTAGAAAGAAGTTTTAATAAAATTTTGTTTTCAGAACCTAGGTATTCTAATCTTACATCAAATATCAAAAGGAGTTCTCTTTAAAATGTACTCTTTCTTTAGTAAGTAATAATAGTCTTACATCACTATAAAAAGTTCTTTTTATCTAATCTTTCTTTAGCAAATAACATTACTTATCAAAACATACACCTACAAATTTTAAAAGCACGTTTTAAGGCATTTTCGGGTCACAGTAGAAATTACTTTTAAAATTCAATAGTGCTGAATTAACGTGTTAATAAATGTTCCAACCTGGAGTCTGACGAGATATAATTTTTCACGAATTCTTGTCATATCTCTATACAATCTTAAGGAATACCGGAATTTTATATGTGAGAATGACATTTCTCGAGAGCTCACTTTCTCAGGAAATTACTGTATACAGGATTATTTTTGTCAGCTTTTTTTTTTTGCCCTTTCACTCTTGCAAAGTTCTGCCTGGTTTTAAATTCACCTACTCACAATTTTGTTTAAGAAAATATACTGAACACTTTAAATTCGCCCCCTTTTTATATATTCCCCCAACCGAGGTTAGGGCGAGAGGGGTGAAAATAAAAACGGGGGTGAAAATTTTCTTGTATATTAGTATGCAAAATTAAAGTTCTCACGAATAAAAAGTGATTTACAGTATGGAGACAGACCTGAACTCTGGAGAAGGGCTCGATGATGCGACAGAGATTCTGTTCCAGTAAGTTGTCATAGAGCGTCTTCAGGTGAGCGTTCACGATTGGATCCTCTGCTAGCTGGGCTTTATACTGCACCAATGTCTGAAATCACAACAGAAAAAAATCTAAATATCTTCAAGTATTTTTTCTTTTTCTTATACATTGTATTTATTTTCTATGTTTGATGAAAACTGTCTAATTTAAAACATGTGCAATCTGTCTACTGTGATTAATGTAAATTATGACCTTATTTTCATTCCAAATTTTTATATTTTTGTTATTAATGACATTGCCCTGTCTATTTTGACACAAAATTTACTGTAAACATACTTTATTTGGCCGTGTATTCTATTTACCGACTTTCTGCTTAATCAAGTACACTGTTAATGTCTTGTATATCATACATTTATGTCTAGCACATTCAGGTAGCGCTAAATCAATTCTATGCTACCTTGCTGAAAAATGAATTCCCTCAAAATATCATATATGCCAAATATAAAATACACTTAGAGTATATCCCAGTGCTTGTTCCATTAGGTTTCACTGCAGCACTTTTACTGTACTGTATTGAGAACTAAAATAAAATACAGTGTTTTCCCTTTATTTTAAAGTAAAGGGTTAAAGATTGATTGTTACAGGCTAAGGGTTGATGTTAAAGAACAGAACTATGTTAAACTTACAAGAAATTTTGATTTCTAGGCGACATTTTTATCAATCGAAGGCGGTCAATTTGGCCGTCAACCAGTTCTTAGGGAGAACACTGAAATAGTGCACTCCTGATTTAGTACCATTTTTCTCATCACCTGGTAAGTGTTATCAATGAATTAGAAATCACAGAGCCAGACCTCCAAATGTTTTGGTTATATAATCATACATTCATGTACCTTAATTAGTGTACAGCTAAGGGTGCTAAGTTATGAATGCCACTTAAAGAGTATGTTTGCGTTAAAGAACTCTGTCATTAAAGAGGTAATTCATTCAGTTAAAGAGGCCAAGGTGAAGCTAGACAGACTAAAATGGAAAAATACTTTGTGTTTTTCAGCAAAGGTACCATCTTGAAGTCACGAAGTATTTCAAAGGTCTAGATGTGCTTAGAATTTGTTAACGTTAACATGTTTAATTAATTTTTTTTTTTAAGAACATGTCTGGACAAAATGATGTTCTTACACAGACAGACAAATGGACATGCTATTTCCAATATACTCCCGAAGCTTTGTAGAGAAGGAGGGATATGGAGGGGGTATAACAGCAATAGTTTGTAAAAGAGAAATTCTAGAAGGAAGCTTATTCTCTCAGACCCAGTTATTCAGATAAACCACGCACATTATCTGAATTGATTGTTAGCTTTGTGGGTTTCAGTCTCAAAAAAATAGTGTTTTTTTAATAATATTATTGGAGATGTAATTTCCTCCTTTAAATTGTACATACAGGATCTAAGAGACATCTTCATCAAAATATGTCTGGACAAAATCATATCCTTAGACAGACAGACAAATGGACAATCATGCTGTTTCCAATATACTCCCCAAGCTACTGGGGCAAAATCAGAACAAGGGAACCTCAAAGCATGGCATCTCCGCGCAAAGATCATATCTATAAATCAAGAAAGCATTTGACATTGATACTCACTTTCATTTCACATGGGACATAACACACCCACCTGATTGCATTTAAATTACTATTTCCTAGATCTGGGCAAAAATATCAATATTTCGGTATATTGCAATACAATGACAAAAAAATATCGTATTGCATTACGTTTTTGTAATATCGATATATCGGCAAGATGCTTAGGCTAAGGAATTTTATCATTAAATATAAAAATAAATGTAAGAAAGGCTTGTTACTAGGCTAAGCAGTAAGACAGAAGGTGTTTTATGGATGTATTTCAGAGCATAACTTAAATAAAATCAGCAATTTTTTTTTTGTGGTTACTTTTCATGTTCATTCTGCATGTAAATTAAAGTTAATATAATAAGAAAATGCCATTGTAATTTTCTTTGAAAATATTGCAATACATATCGCAATACAGTTAAAAATATCGCAATATATCACAATACGAAATCTCTGGCCAATACCCAGCCCTACTATTTCCCTTCCAACTCTGTTGCGATGGGATAATAATAAGCATTCAATTATTTGTCCACAGATTCACCATCACAGTTTCATTCAGTTTTTCTCTGAGATCGGCTGCTAATTGGTCACCCTTTAGTGTTATGCATAAAATGAAATGACCTCTGAAAGATCATCTTTATGTTTATTTTTTCACTAACAATATGTTTTCCAGCACCTAGTTCTAATATAAGCATATTGATTATCATTGACATTTTTGACATTTAAATAACCTCTAAATGCCTGGATGATTATCTTATGTCATTTAGTATAATTTTTAAATGAGCTAGTGACTTTTATAAAACTTAGCGTGTAAAAAAAACCCCACAACATTGACGTTGATCCATTTCTAGAATCTTTTCCAGAGTGCATTCCTCTTAAAAAAAAATGTAAATAACAGGATCTAAGCTAGACAGCCTCCTCAAAAATAATTTTTTACTTAATAATTGTAAAAGATTTTATCCCTGAGTGACTTTTAATTTGCTGCTAATAGGATTATTTTGATCTTTGCCCTATCAGACTTAAAAAAGATTATGACACCTTTCCGATTCTCCAAGACAATGAGACACGGATTTGGTAACTGACAGAAAGGGGGAGATAACCATGCCTTGGACACGTACCTAAACCAACTTTTATTCACAACAACTATATTTCGCGATTTACCGGGGTTTATCTGGTTCGCTATGATCCAAATTTTTTTGATCTGTTGTTAATAGAACAGAGACTTTAAGGACCGCTTCTCAGCAAGAAATATTCACAATGACAAGGCTCTCACAGGGGTTCAAAATTCCTCAAGCCCGACGTCCCGGACTAACAAATTCTGGATCCGGACTCGGCATTTAGAATTCGCCAAAGTCCTGGGACTTGGCTATGTTTTTTGTTTATCTTTTTTTTTTAAGTTAAAAAAATGATCGTAAAGCTAAAAATAAAGCAAATTCTCAAATGTATTAAGTAAAAATGTGGGTTTGTGATCGTTAAAATACCCGTAAAACATTACGAACGTTTCGAAAATACAATCCGTCTTTTTATTTTCCGTTGCGGTTAGATTCTTGCTTTTACGCAATTCCTCATGTTTCCTCCTATATGACAAACAGCAATTAGTCTATTAGTTTTTTAAATTTCGGTTTTAGCTTTGACTTACAGCACATTCTAACTGCTATTTATTGTAACAGATGGTTTATTCAGTAGTGAGTATTTGTAAAAGTTATTTTAATGTACCAATAATCTATCAGTGTGGTATTTTTGAAATACTCATGTATGACTATATGACAGTTTATGGAGGAAAAATAAAACATATATTAATACATATAGTCTTTATTCATTCAATGCAACAAATGAAAATAAATTATAAGTAACATAAATTTAATGATGTATAGGTTAATATGGACTTTCAAATTTCTTCCTCGGACTTGCCTGAAATTTACTCTTTAAGTCCTGGACTTGACCATGACAAAAAAAATTTTGAACCCCTGCTCTCATGAAAATTTCTCGTACATGAATAAAAGTTGGTTTACAACTTTTGGCTAACCATGCCTCGGACACACATATACTGTAAATCATATAACCACAATTCATGAAAATTTTGTCTCGCTTATCAAGAGTCAATGACTATCTCGCGAAAATAAGGTGTCGCAAAAATATAGTGATCTACAGTAAGTAACTACTGGACTACTGACCTTTTGGAACTCGGCGAGAGACCGTTTGTGACTAGCCTGGGCTATGCTTTTCATGGCCTCCACTTCAGGGCCTTGGTATTTTAAGGCTAGTTTTCCACTCAGTATTGTTTGAACCTCATCTGCTCTGTAACGGAAGAAAAGGTCCATGAATCTAAACATTTTTAAACATGTTAAAGACAATTTAACGTCCCCCCCTTCCTCCCCGATTTATCAGTACTATTGTTGCCTTTGACAGAATAAAAAGTAGCTGCAATAAGGTAAGTAGCCCACTATTCTTTTTTAACTTCAAATTGTGAATGATTCATTAATTCCATCATCAAAATATGAATTCCCATTATCTTTGACAATTTAAACATAAATAACATTAATTCTACTGTCCCTTGTCTTAAAATGGCCAAAATTTCGAGTTTTTGTATTAGTGTAATTTACAGTGGTTGCAACGTTATTGTTGACAAACCAATCGTGTAGAATCGTTCGTGTATCGTGCTGATCGTTCGTGTAACGTGCGAGATCGTGCGTGTATCAGACTCAATCGTTTGCGGTTTTAATCGTGCGTGATCGTGCGTTTTGAAACATGTAAATTTCGTTTTGTAAGTTTTAATCGGAATGTTATTTGTTAAACAAGCATTTCATTTGTTTTTTTTTATATTTTTTAATCCAAATCAAATGAATGAAGCGCAATTTACATAATTGAATGCAGAACGAACTAATTATTGCTCGTAAACAAGCAATATAGTAAGTCGTACAATATTATGTTCTCGTCAAATAGCGGGATCTGTTACATTGTGATAACCGTATTAAGATGTTTAACGTTTTTTTTGTCTCTCTCTGATTTTCATTCTTGTTTACTGCTAATTGTGAACAAGATACTTTTGAAATCAAAAATAAATTGTTTTACAAATTAAAAAAAAAAGCATTTCCCAAGGCTTACATGAATATTTAGTCGGCGAATAATTATACATACACTCGACATGATTTTCTGGGGTTTGTTTACCAGTGTTTTTCTATGTAACGTACTTTTAAATATTTTCTTTAATTTGATTTCTGCTAATAAAAAAATGTGAAATAATTGGCAAGTTCATTTTCATGATTTTAGAGAATCACAAACATTGAATCAATGGAAACATGATATAATACGTAATTAAAATCCTTCCATCCTGCCATATTTTTTTTAAAAATCGTTTTTTCATTTCTGCATTTTTTGAAATCCAATTCAATAAAATTTTACGGTCCAACTACATGTGCATCTTCTGATAAAGTGAAAAAATCTGTTTCTTAGGTCGGAGAATTTCCTATTAAAATCATAACAATTTATAATTTTAAATAATAAATAAGTCTTACATGTATTAAGTTACAGAAATATCCATTGCCGTTTTTTTTCCAAAGTCTATAAAATAATATTGATAATTCTTTGAAATCTATCATCGATCAGTATTAAGTCGTATTTCGTTTTGAAACATAGATTCCTAAATATTTTGAACTATTTTGAGTGAAGAATCGTGCGTTTGCGTTAGCAATCGTGTAAGATCGTGTAACGTGTAGAATCGTTTGCGTGAAGGATCGTTCGTGTAACAGGTTTAATCCTGCGTTAAACGTGCGGAATCGTTCATGTAACGTGATCATTCGTGTAACTTGTCAACAATATCGTTGCAGCCACTGTAAATAACTTGACAATAATAAACATGCTAAAGACTGACAGTTCATGAGTTGTACAACTTTTCCATGAGTAAGTATAAAAAATTTAAGTGTAGAATTCTCACATAAGGTGAACATACGTGTTTAACATGATTTTACACATCAGCATGTATTTGAGTCCTGTCACAGCCTTGGGGCTGTCTATGGAATCGTAACCCTCAAAGGCCTCGTAGAAGTAAGAATAAGCCGTCTTAAAATCTCTCTCATCAGCAGCATGTAGGATACCTTAAATAAATCAAAACAGAAGTTTTCAACACCACTGATGATTCAGTTCCAATATTTAGCAGAATTCCACTAATTTGAATACAACAATCTGATATGAGCAAGTGTTTTCTAATGTTTTCGTTACTTTCTAATTTTGCATTGATTGGTGTCCATTTCTGTACGGGTAGTATACTCAAGTTGTTTAGTCTCTGTTTTGAAAGCGTGTGCATCATCCAGACATTATATACTGTAAACCAGCTTTTATTCGTGTGCAAGAAATTTTCGCAAAGTTCACGAGAGCCTTGTCCTCGCGAATATTTCTCGTCACAAACCAGTCCTTAAACTGTATGTGTCTATTAACAACAGATCCAAGAAGGCTTGATCGCAAAAAATTAATCATCGTGAACTTGTTTATCCCTGGTAAATCGTGAAATAAAGTCGTCACGAATAAAAGTGTATAGTATACTTGTGAGGTCAAATTTACACTTTCAATGCATTACATGCATTTTTGGCAAATGTTTACCACCAAAATACCTTCATGATTATAGAAACTGCTTATTGATTTAGCTCAGATTTACCTGATTGCATGTCTAGAGCTGCCTGCAGTTTAGGTGGACAATAAATACCATTGGCTGTTGTTCTACCAGAGGTCAAGGCTGCCCTATAAATAGAAATGCATAAATCTGTGTCTTACATTTTTCATACAGCGTTAACTCAATTTTTCTTTATCATTCCTTGAGTTAAGCAATGTACATATATATATACACTCATACTTATGTATTCTGCACATAAAAAGAAATTAAATGTGGAGATAACGAACATTGCATGTATGTAAGCTTCAAAGTCCAAATCTATCAAAACTTTCCTCATATACAAATCAATTTATTCAATTAAAATCATGATTTTTTTTAAACTTAAACTGACAATATTTGTTAATTTGATATGTTTATGACCTAAAGGTTAATATAAATTGATTGTATTAATGAAAACTTTGTCACAGAATGGTGTATTAGTTAAGCTATAAGAGATCAGCTTGAACCTTCTGTATCTTGCCTGGGAATGAATTCTACTCTCTATGTTAAAGTTTAACTATAGGAGTTGTGTACCTTGCCTTGGGTAAATTTGACAGAGAATGATAAATTCTACTCTACATGTAAAGTTTAACTACTGGAGTTCTGTACCTTGCTTTGGGTAAATTATACAGAGAATGATAAATTCTACTCTACATGTAAAGTTTAACTATAGGAGTTCTGTACCTTGCTTTGGGTAAATTTGACAGAGAATGATAAATTCTACTCTACATGTAAAGTTTAACTATTGGAGTTCTGTACCTTGCTTTGGGTAAATTTGACAGAGAATGATAAATTCTACTCTAAATGTAAAGTTTAATTATTGGAGTTTTGTACCTTGCTTTGGGTAAATTTGACAGAGAATGATAAATTCTACTCTAAATGTAAAGTTTAACTATTGGAGTTCTGTACCTTGCTTTGGGTAAATTTGACAGAGAATGATAAATTCTACTCTAAATGTTAAAGATTAACTATTGGAGTTCTGTACCTTGCTTTGGGTAAATCTGACAGAGAATGATAATTTCTACTCTACATATAAAGTTTAACTATAGGAGTTCTGTACCTTGCTTTGGGTAAATCTGACAGAGAATGATAATTTCTACTCTACATATAAAGTTTAACTATAGGAATTCTGTACCTTGCCTTGGGTAGATTGGACAGAGAATGACAAATTCTACTCTACATGTACAGTTTAACTATTGGAGTTCTGTACCTTGCCTTGGGTAAATTTGACAGAGAATGATAAATTCTACTCTACATGTAAAGTTTAACTATTGGAGTTTTGTACCTTGCTTTGGGTAAATTGGACAGAGAATGATAAATTCTACTCTACATGTAAAGTTCAACTAAAGGAGTTCTGTACCTTGCTTTGGGTAAATTTGACAGAGAATGATATATTCTACTCTCTAAAAGCTGGACTTCAACCAACAGTGCCTTGTCGTCTAGTTTCTTTAGCTCTCTCAACAGTGAAGAAGCTGTGGAAATAAACAAAATATAAGTAGAAGATCCACCTTAATTATATCGAAAAAGAAGAGCCACCTTAAAATTTCTAACTTAAGGTTTATTATCCCTACATTCATTCATACGTGTACAAAATTTTTCTTGAACACTGAAATTGAAATACAAACAAGTTAAGATTACTTGTGTGGCAAAACTTAACAGATGTGGTCTTTAATATCTTTAATTTTAATTTTCCTTTTTAAACTTGACAATTTCCTAAAAATCATTTATCCAAGTTAGAGTAATCTCCCTTATCAGTAGGTCAATCAAATGGGTGAAATTCACCTCTTCTTGTTTCTGTAAGTTTCTTACCTAACTGAAGAGCCTCGGTAAACTGTTGTGTTCCGTGATATAAAGCAATAAGTCTGGCCTTGAAAAGGGAAAGAAAAAGAAATTTATGATAATACAATTTTACTATCAGTATTGAGATATATATTATATTGTTAGGTACCCTGTGACACTCTGCTAAATAATGTAAATGAAAATAAATGAACGCACTCATTACTTTAATTCAATCAAAACTCAATGCACCAAAGTTTTAACGATGACATGTATTAGTTTTAACCAAGTATTAGTTCGTACATGAATAAGAGGATAAAGGGCATCATGAAAAGATACTACATATTGTTAAGATATGAATTACACTAAAATATGTAAGTATGCTGAATATTAACCATTTTCATGTCAACCCCTCTAACCATGAACTTGCTAGGTAGCATTTAACATAATATGAAAGAATATCAAAATGAATTTCTTGACCATATGTACATGGTGAAAAAAAAATCAGGCTAATAGAAGACATTTACAATACAATGCCATGGCTTACCTCTAATGCCTGTCTAAGGAAGGTTCGTTTTTCGTCTTTAGCCCAATCTATACATTCCTGACAAAGCTGAACCTAAAGGGAAAACAATGCTATTCACACATTTATAATTGTGATCATAATGCTTAATGAAAATCTTGCCAATCTTACAAATTTTAGATGCATACAGTGTATACATATATGTAAAATCAAGCTGCTACACTCGCTGTTGGAAAAAAAAAATCACTGGTGTACCGTGTTCAATATTTTGAAAATTATACAGTCATTAAGTCTTTGTTCAATAGGAATAGCACGCTTTACCATGTTTACCATGTATCCAAAAAAAAAAAGATTTAGAATTAAGTTTTTCTTAGTAGCCTCCATACTTCTAATTCATGCAGGACTTAGAATAACTACAGTGTTCACATCCAGTTTATGAATACCTCTTTTCCTGTTGATGCTTCCATATCCAGAAACATGTCTACCAGTCCCCTGACCAGCTTGGCCGCCTTAGCTTTACTGACCATAACAAGGAAAGGACGTGTAAACTTTATCAGACCGGCTAGTTCTATAAATGGAAAAAAAATACACAGTAAATTCATATTTATAGTTTATACTGTATAATTATTATTAAACAAGACTTTGTAACCCAAAAGACATGGGATTGAAATATTGATATGTATAGTCTTTTTCGTGAGAATTCATCCCTGGCATAATTGGCAATAGTGCTGAGTCATTAAATAAATTTCTCTTAGATTAACGATTTACATCATGTGGGATGTCAGGTTTGTCATTCATGGTAATAATATTATATAATTTTATGAAGCAATTCATTACATTGCCATTACATTTAATGAAAATTTTTGGGCATTACACATTACTAGCATTACTTTGAGTTCATATAATGCATTGCAATGCATTACCATTACAATAAGCATTATCCCAAGCCTACATGGTATTATAAAATTGCTAGGCCAGCATTTTTTTTTATTTTTAGGTTTACGAACATCAGAATGAAAAAGTCCCATAGGAGGAGGAAATTTTTTTTTTTTTTGGAAATAAATTATCAACTTTTGTACATTCATTTCTGCTTCTTTTTTTATGCTATCCTAAGAGGCTCCTTGCCACTGGACACATAATGGTTACAAATAAGAAAGAAGAACATTTTATTGTTTATTTCATAATCTGCCAGTTTGGGCCAGTGATATAACAATATGAATTTTGTGATGCTGATCAAAATAGATTTTAAAAATCAATTCTTTGAAATTCTTTCAATATATCTTCATTTTTTCATATGTTACGTGAATCTGAAGACACTGTTCTAAAATACACTTGAGACCTAAAATTATAATTCCTATCATAAAACAGACAGGGAGTATTGGGGGGTAGGGTGAAAATTTTTTCAATTAAGTGTAAATTAATTTTTCTGGCTGCCACAAACAATACCACACAACTGTATATATTTGTATATACTTGCTTTTTAATAGTTGATTTTTTTCTTCTTCAGGATATTGGTTATTTCTTCCTCATATGGACTTAACTTCTCCCATTACTTTTATTCATATGATGCATAAGCCGATAATAAGCGACCCTTTTCTGACAGGTCCAGGAAAATCACTACACATGTAATTTTATTTTTGTGTGGAAAATAAACACATCTTACCTAGATGCCACTTCCTTTCATTAATCTAGCTCTGAGAATTTGACCAGACGACTTTTTTTGTTTCTAACGGGGCGTTTGATATTGAACGCTCGTATTCGGAATGTTTCGGACATACTCGTATATGTAATACAAACTCAGCGTTCAATAAAACGTCAAGATATTGAATACTAAAATTCTCTAGATGTTTGGTAGTATTTTATTAGAGACTATTTATAAGCTATATAATAATATACATTTATTGCATGATAGTGAGGGAAATATGATTTATTCAACCAAGAAAAATCATATTCCCCGAGCACATATTGAGGGGAATATGATTTTTCTTGGTTAAATAAATCTTCATCATGTTCATGTTTCCAGAACATTCATGCAATGAATTATTTATCATACCGAAACAAGCAAAAATTTTGGATTGCAGGAAAATGCAAGTTAGGTTTCCAAAGTGGTGGAATATGATGAAAAGTGTGCCGATGACTGGGAAATGTGAAGTTTTATGGCTCGGTCTCGTGTTAATCTAGAACCAATCAGATAATGTGATGTATAGAATAATTATAATGAGGTATAATAATATTATGATATAGAATCTTACAAAAGCTTATCTATGTAAAAATTGTGAGATTGGATACTTTCAGCAATTACTAACTTGAACATACAATCAGGGACTTATATACTAACGATTATTGCTTATCCCATTAGTATATAGGTCCCTGAAGCAATCATTCATTCTTATCTAATTATGTATCCTTTTTTTCGAAGGCATTGTTTTAATAATTTTTAATAATTTCTATTTGAACCCAATGCTACACGCAAACCGGTAGGCATATCCGATCTATGTGTTAAAATGAGGCCTGAATCGAGCAGGGGGTCAAAATTGTGTTGCACACCTTGTGAATTTATGTCAAAGTTAGAGGTAAATCATAGTTTCTTATTTAGGAAAATGTTAAAATGTTTACTCGATGGACCTCATTTTTACCCAACAAAATCTCTAAAATCAAGGCTTCGCCCTGAACCCACTGGGAGCCTCAACGTAGCCCCCCCCACCCCCTGCCTAAATTCTGACATACCTTCAGCCTGTCCTGTCTCTGCTAACAGTGCTCCCAAATCTAATATCGCCTGCTCTTTGGTTTTAATATCATTCTCATTGTTTATTTCAACATTTCTTTTAACTGCAAAGAAAGAAATAAAATTTGAGAAAATTCGAACGAACCCCCCCCCCCCCCCTTCCATCATTAAGAAAATTCAAAGACTTAAAATATTAACGATCATTATTCAAGTAAGAAAAAAAATTATCCATGTAATGTAAACTATAAATCTATATAATGTTTACTCGTTTACAATTCGCTGGACAGATTAAAAAAAAAAAAGAACACGATGAAGTAGCAAAATTGAAGACCGGTAAAAGCAAAATAAGTTTGGTAGAAATAAAATCCACAGACTATGTCTGTTAACTTTCATATCATATCAAGATCAGAGAGAAAACTTTACCAATATTGTATAATATATCTATCGCTGCACTTTTGTTGGTAATTTTCAACGCTTGAGCTTTCTCCAGTTCCATGGTGTCTTTTTTGTTTATGATAAAATCATCAGAGTTATCTTTCTTGCATATGGAAGATAAAAAGTTTTGTTACTTTCGGATAAAAACGGAAATCATTGCTTTGTATTAAAATAACAATTAAAACATGCAAAATGATAATAATTATTAGTATTTATATATTTATTATTGATTGATTGATCAATTTTTAATTTTAACTGTTGAAAAAAATTATTGAAAGGTGGGATGTCCTTTTTCTTTTTTGTTGCAGCAGTTGTCATGAGGTTATAAAGTAAAAGAAATAAACCAAAATAAACTGGAAGATGAAGCTATGTCGTCCACAAGTAATAAACAAATAAACAATCAATAAACACATCCGGATGACAGGATTTCAGTAGGTTTGGGGCAGGGGGGGGGAGCAGTCATACATTTTCAGTTGGAGGGGCACCATCAACTGCCAAAATTATTCTTTGATTAAAAAAAAAGTCATCAGACGTTTTTATTGTGGGGACCAAGAATACAGTATATCTATAGATACATGTATGTTTTCTATAAACAGAGCAACATTTAACTCCGGACACGACCTTGTCCAGACTTAATTTTTACTACTATATGTATTTCTAATTGTGATATCAAAAAAAGTTTATAACACTCTGTGGGATTTTTTAACAGAATCACAGGCCCTCATGTTGAACTCACAAGCATATCTGGTTTTTTTTAATTTTAGGACATAAAGTCAAAGTCAGAGTCCCCCATGATGGTATTTTAGTCCTGGTTTAGGCCACCTTTCTTCCATGGGAGAAAAGTGTATATGGGACAAATCTCTTGCTCGGATATTAACAATGCGACATTTTCTCCCATACATTGTTCTAAAATGGGATGTGTCCAATAGATAATGATCAGTGAGATTTCATTAAAATCTATGGGATATGATTCTCATGTTTAATAATGTTTATCAAATGTCTCACATACATATTTTTAAAAGAAGAGATGATGGTGAGTTCTACATGAGATCCTATGATACTGTAAGAAATCCCACCAATTAAGTGCTTTAAACGTTAACTTTTTGGGGGGCGGCCTAAAAATTAATTAAAAAATGTTCGTAAAAAGTCTGGACAATGTCGTGCCCAGAGTTAAATGTCGCACTGTTTATAGTATTCTATAATTTATATACATCGGCAAAATTATTGGGACCCCCCATCTTCCACAGCGGTGACACCCCGGTTCCTATGATAAAGTGAAGTTGGATGAACAGGTACGGTATTCAGTATCAAATCCTCCTACAGTTTTGATCTGATATCAACATATTTAGACGACAGTATTAGTAATGAAGAAATTTTGATAAATGGTTTTCAAGCGCCAATCAGAAAAGACAGAAATAGACATGGAGGGGGTGTAGCTTTGTATGTGTCTACTAAGTTAAATTACATTTTGAGAAATGATATGTATAAATGATCCTAATATTGAAGTATTATGGGTTGAGATTTGTACACAGAAACAAAAGTTTTTAGTTGGAGTAATCTACAGACCTCCTCATTCAAATTCTGAATATTGGAATAATTTTTCTAATACCATTGAAAAAGCTTTAGATACTGAAATGTCAATATTTTTGGTCGGAGATTTTAACGTAAATATGTTAGCGGCAGGTAACAATACCTTTAAACAACTCTTACAAAGGCTGAACATCTCTAATGTGGTAACTGAACCAACTAATTTTACTTCAAATACAGGAACCTGTATAGATTTGGTCCTCACAAATGATGTAAATAAAGTAGAAATTGTAAAGGTCAATGCACCATATGCAGTTCGCACTCCCCAGTCATAGTTAATATATCTTTTAAGGCCTACAAACAAAAGGCATATAAACGTACCATAAGAAACTATAACTTAGCCAACTATCAAAGCTTGAATGACGACTTAAATCACGTTAAATGGGATGAGGATGTGTTCTATTGTGAGAATATTAATGAAGTAAATACTAATTTTAATTTAAAATTGATGACCTTAGTTGATAAATATATCCCTACGAAAGTCATTACTGTTCGACCCTCTGATAAACCTTTTATTACAAACGCAATTCGTAGAAAAATGAGGAAAAGAAATAGAATACATCATAAGGCAAAACAAACAAGTAATCCCTAATCACTGACAAAAATTTAAAGAAATTCGTAATGAGGTAGTCAAATTAGTACGAAAAGCTCGAAATGATTATAAAGTGAAACTGGCCTCTCAACTTATCGATAAGACTATTCCTCCAGGTAAATGGTGGCGAATTGCTACATCTGTCTCAAGATTTAAAAAACAAAATACTTCCCCTCCTCCTCTGAACCCAGGTAGCACAAAACATTTTCAAAACATTTTATTGGTGTTGTAAAAAGGTTTTTTCGAAACATTTCAGATTAAACATTTTAAAAACATTTTTAAAACATTTCCTCTTCTCTTTATAACATTTTAAAAACATTTTAAAAATGTTTTCAAGAAGCTTATGATTAAATCCTTTTGGAACATTTTTATAAAATATTTTTGAAACGTTTTAAAAATGTTTCAAAATGTATGTTTAGCTTTCAAATATCAAAAATTTTTATATTACGTTTTAAAAACATTCTAAAAACATGAAATGAAACATTCCTTTTCCATAAATCTGAAACATTGCATTAATACGTTTCTGAAACATTTGGAAGGAACGTTGTCAAAATGTTTTTCAAACATTCTTAATTCATTTAAGGAAAATTTTTCTTAAAATTATTCTAAGGGTATGTATAGCTTCAAAATATTTAACATCTTATAAAACGTTTTAAAAACGTTCTTAAAACATTAAATGAAACATTCTTTTTCTGTAAAACATTGCCTATACGTTATTATTATAAGGGTATGTATAGCTTCAAAATATTAAACATCTTATAAAACGTTTTAAAAACGTTCTTAAAACATGAAATGAAACATTCTTTTTCTGTAAAACATTGCCTATACGTTTCTGAAAAATTTGTAAGGACTATTTTAAAAATATTTTTAAAACATTCTTAATATCGCTGTTAGTTATAAACATTAAATTCCGGATATTTTTCGGCCTAGGCAGTGAAAATGTTTATTTAATACATTAACTAAAATAATTATTTTCACTACAATTGAAACATTTAAATTGTAGTTTTTGTAACATTTTTTGGAAACATTTTCAAGATGTTTCTGAAACATATATGTAATTGCAGCACAATTTAATTCATTTACTAACTTTAAGAGTATGTTGTGAGAATAATTTTAGAACATTCAATTTAATGTGTTTTCCTTTTTAAAGACTTCATTTTGCATCGCTGCAACATTTTTTAATGTTATTTTCATAACGTTCTTAAAACATTCAAATAATGTATGATTGCTATTTTCCTAAAATTCAGTTTATGAAGAAAAAAAAAGAATATATAGAAAGAATAGTGTTGAAATGAGGAACTGTAGTAATTTTTTAACTGAAAGATTTTTCCGGTATTTCATAATGATTTCTAGTTTTGGCTTAATGATTAAACAGACATATATATAAAGTCCTTTAATTAAAACAAATCAAAAAATCAATAAATGAAAGGATAGGCAAACACAAAATTTAAAATATAAATAAATGTATAAAATCATAAGTATTTGATAAAACTCTTAATGTCTTTTTTAAAAAAAAATGTTCTTCATCAAATCTGTGATCCACTCCCAGGATTTTACTCTAAGGCATTGGATAGGGATTGGCACACTGGTCAGTTTCAGTGTCATGATAGCCTATTATGTAATTTTCCTGCTGGGCAGCGCATTACAGAGTATAGTGGTTTGCAGCTTATCTAGGCCAGATTTTGAATTCTGGTAAACAAGATGTGCGCGCTTACTTCCTGCCGATTTGCACGAGAAGACTTTGCACCATAACACCACAATAATAACCTCGGGATTTATTAACTTTGAATGGTAAGAATTATTCCTTTATCATAGACTTTAAAAGATCATTTAAAAATGACTTTTATACTACCAGTGCATGATCAATAACTTTGTACAAATGTATGTAGCATACGTATGTATTTGATTTGAATATTTCATTCTTAAGGCAACACAATTATATCCTTGATTCAAGTATTCGTTGTCTTTGTGAAATGTTTTAAAATTATCAAACAATATGTTGATTTAAAAATGAATTTTTTTTACAGCATGGTGTTGATTGCATCATCCGTATTTTCAAATTCCCACATTCAAAAGACCCGCCTTTGTTGAAGGCAAATGTGTACGTTAATACTTTTACTCTTCAATAATATTGTCATAGTAATTATTATTCTGCTTTTTCAATGCAAATAGAATGAGGAAAGAACCTCATTGATCATCGTAAGCGTTAAGATACATTAGATGTAGAACGCTAATACAAACACTATTTTCCTTATCTTTACAGGTTGTGCTGTTCTTTCCGAGGGGCGGATTCCGTATCAGCCTTTTCAGTGTATGTGATTCTAACTAAGTCTTATAGATCCGCCGCTCTGTTCTACCTATACTGTGAACATAGGATTTCTGTGATTCTTGTTTAAAATTCAGTGAATGGATTAGACGCCGTTTTCACCCTTTAAAAACCCGGTGACTTGAAAGAAAATAAATTAAAACTTGTACCGAGAATGGAATTTAAATGTGATTACCATATTGAATATGGGTTTGTATTAAAGGTTCAAAAATAAATATAATTAGTGTTTATTTCTTTTAAAATATAGATATATCATTATTTAATGAGAAAAGTAGAATTTCTGCATAAATACTTTTGTAACCTCGACGTGAATGTTTGAAAACGTTTTAAAAACCACACAAATTAAAAGTGAAAAAAATAATTGAAAATTTTTTTGTTACATTTTATAACAATGTTATGATAACATTAGTTGAAATATTTTGTAAAATGTTTTAAAAACATTTAAAAAACCATACAAAATCACGTGATTATAACATTGTTCAAAAATGTTTTTGTAACATTTTAAGAAAATGTTCCAGAAACATTTGCTGAAATATTTCACTAAAATGTTTTAAAAACGTTTAAAAAACCATTAAAAACAAATTCACGTGATTAAAACATTATTGAAAATGTTTTTGCAACATTTTAAGAAAATGTTCTGACAACATTTTGCTGAAATATTTCACTAAAATGTTTTAAAAACGATTAAAAAACCATACAAAATCACGTGATTAAAACATTTTTAAAAATGTTTTCGCAACATTTTGAAAATGTTTTAAAAACATTTTAAAAATGTTTTTGTGTTAGCTGGGAAATCTAGAGATGGCAGGATATTCGTTCATCCAAATGATAAATCAGAAGAATTTAATAATTATTTTGCAAATATTTCACACATAAACACCGAGCCTGATCTCCCTGAACATGGACCAGGTCCTCCAATTAATTGCTTTGATGATTTTGAAATTACTGAACAGGATCGACGTTCTTGATCAATTATCAATCTTAGATACCTCTAAACCACCAGGGCCAGACGGGTTATCTCCAAGAATCCTAAAAGAAACACGATTCTCTATTTATAAACCATTAACAAAACTTTTTAACATGTCACTCAGTGAGAAATGTCTACCTTATGTATGGAAACAAGCACATGTTTCCCCAGTCTTTAAAAATAAAGGAAGCCCCGACAATGCTAATAATTATAGGCCCATCTCTCTTACACGTTCTGTCTGTAAAGTTATGGAGGAAATACTTTTCAAGTATATGTACAATTATATAAAAGATTACGAATTGATATCAAAAAATCAATCGTTTGTGCGTATGTGAGCACTCATATCTAAATAAACATTGTATATATACTCTGTTCATCGTATTGTAACCTTGACCTGTTGTATAGAGAGGGTATTTATAGGCTTAAGCCTGTTGCTCAATCTATTCAGTTTACTGAATAAATATTGTTTAAATCAACAGAACTTGGTACACAGGTAGACCACACTAAGGTACACTAAGGTACAAAATTCTATTTATTGGTTCTAGATTTCGATAAACGGTGTTGCCATGGTTACTAAAAAAGAAATTTCTTTTAAGGTCATACGCAACGTAGTTTGAACTTTTCTGTCTTTTTCCGTGGAGTTGAAGAGTTCCAAATCTTGAAGGAACTGTGTGTAATATTCTAACTTCTATATATGGTGTTGTACACTTCTTCTATAACAATTTTGGATAAAAGAAACATCTAGAATATATGTTTAGTATTTTTTATATCATTTTCTTTGAATCATCCAAATTTTTTCATCAGTCAATATCTCTCAAAATCCTCTGGTAATGAATACTGATTTTTTGTCTATGAACATCTGATGACACTATAATCTTAAATTAAAAATTATCAACAGGTAAGGTACGTTGCGTATGTCCTTAAATACTTTCAAGTGCTACTCCTCCTACAGTTTTGGTTTGATTTCAATATAACTTGGCAAACAAGTAGACCACACTTAGACACATCATTTCGTGTATCGGTTTTTGATTTCCTTGAACGGTGTTGCCATGGTTACTAAAAATAGAAATTTCTTTGAAATACTTTTAAAAATGCTTCTCCTCCAACAGTCTTTGTCTGATCTCAATATGATTTGGTACACAAGTAGACAACACTAAGATACATAAATCTCTCTATTTTAATTTTTTTTAATGAAAGATGTTACCATGGTAATCAAAATTCTGTGAAAATTCATTTTAAAGGCTACTTCTATAGTTCTAGTCTTTTCGCAATCTTGCCACTAAAAGAGACTAAATCAAGGATCATTATTGTGTTTATTGCTGTTGCAAAGTTTAAGTCCAACTGTTACTTTTCCTTTATTACATGTAGAAACCAGTAAATCTACCGTCTCGACAGATACTTGTGTTTTTTTGTTTTTTGTTTTTGTTTTTGTTTTGTTTTTGTTTTTTTGTTTGTTTTTTTTTTTTTAAAGAAATTGACAAGGCTTAAATTCTGCATGTTTCGGTGACACATATTCACAGAGATAGGTGAAGGCGATTTCATATGGAAAAAAAAGATTGCAACATGTGTTACTGGGATTTTGAAAGATTTTCTTTATGGATAGAGGATGAGGTTTTAGATCATGCTGTAACAGCTTGATTAATTATAAAGACCACAGCTCTCCATATCGCCATTTATGTCACTCAAAAATAGCATAAAGTACAGATGTGACCAAAAGTTGTTAAGTTAAAGATGGGAACGATGGCCGGATTAGAAAAATCTTACAGCTGCATCAACAATCATTTAAAGAGGACATTGACTGAGTACATTTCAGTGTTAACCCAAACACGCCTTGGTTCTAACGGGATGTATTTTGTATAAACATTTGTTTCGTTTAAATTTAGGTAAGATTTTGTTTGATTTTCGTGTCTTCAATTTTTTTTTAAATATTTACATGTATACTAGGTATGTCGGTAGATACGTGTATTATATAAAAGTTATCATAATGTTAAATGAGATATACGATGTACCTCGTAATACATTTTATATCTAATTTGTCTTAAAAGAACACATATTGTTTATGTTTTGTTGACTTTATTGCTTGCACTGTATTTTAAAGAAAATGGTTGCAGCAATATTTATTCTATAAATATTTATTCTATATTTAAGAATAATACTGTCTGACAATTTACTATGATGCACTGCCAGATGAGGTTTTTATTTCATATTAAAACAATTACGGAAAAGTTAAAGTACAGTGTAATTAAACCACAGGCACCTGAAATATGGATCGATATACCCCCCTCCCCCCATACTTTGATTTTAAAAAATGCCAAGAGCTTACAATTTTTCAAAAATATAAAAAAAAAATTCCCGTCAATCACATCCATATGTCTTTTTATGCAAGCAGATTATAACTTTATTTTTAAGTGTAAAGATTGGCCACGTACGCAATCTTGAAAATAAATGCTCTTTATATATTTTTTTAAATGGGGGGGGGGTATCCACACTTAAGTGGCTGTGATTATAAATTTTGTGTAAACAAAGTGAGAAAAAAATAAGTCTTTGATCTATGGGGCTTTAAAATCCATACCATTACAGTTATACTGATTGTTATAATGAAATAGACAATTAATACAGATGAAGGACTGTCGCAGATGTGTTTGAATGAACAAAGGGATCGACCTGAATTCATCAACTGTTGCTGTATGCAAGGCATGATTTGTAAACAGAGAGCCAGGTAAACAAATATCAGGACATTTGTTAAAATAAACCATTTAAACACGACAGGACAATGATTTTTTTTGCTGAAAATTGCGAATTTTTCTTTTTACAAGTAAGATGAAATGATTTTTGAAAACGGCGGATTTATCTTTCTAACAGTAAGTGGAATACCAGGTATTCTTTTCAAAATTTTCACTAATTTATTAATTCATTTTTGAGTAATTTAACGACAGAAAAGAAATTAATGCATATATTTGTTAATACAGGCTTACATTGTTTTACATAGGATTGGGTTATAATTTACCTGGTAGTCTTTTTCTACCGTGTGACTGCAACGTTAAATATGCATGCATAACATAAATGGAAAGCCAAATAAACAGAAACTAAAAAAATAAGATATTCTTATTTGTAAGAAAATATAATTAGCTACCTATTGCAATAAACATATATTGTACTCAAAATCCTAAAGATATTTTAATGGTAAGAAAATATCATATTAACTTCATATTTATTGTGCGTCAGTATCAATTCAGTTATTGCTTTAAGCAAATCAACTGCTGTGCATATCAATTGCATATCAAGTTGATCCTTCGGATGAGACCGTATAAACCACGGTCTCGCGTCGCAAGTAGATGCTGGCAAATAGAAAACCCCTCACTGTTCAATGGCCTTCATTGCTGAGAAAACGTCAATATTTGTAGCTCGCCATAGGCAAGTGTTGGTGTCTCCATATGAGTGAAAAATTCTCGAGAGAGGCGTTAAACAACAACAACAACAACAACAACCCCCCCCCCAAAAAAAAAAAAAAAAAAAAAAAAAAAACCAAACAATCAAAAAAACCAAATAATTTTATTATATTAAACTTTTTGGTCCTAAAAACTTATGAAGACGTTAGTATCAAATCTTTATATTATTATTCTATTTTTCTTGCTCGAAGAGTTGATGTCCATGCACCTCATTCTTTTCAAGAGAGCAACTACTCAATTGGAAGGATCATTATAAAATTAGGAATATGGTGAATTGAAAATATAACTTATTATTTACTTTTACAAGTATATCTTTAAAAGAATTGTTGCAAGCAATATATAAATAAATAAAATTATAAATTAAACGAAAAAAAGCAATAACTACTATTGCGCGCATTAACTAGAATTTAAAATGCTCATTAATCAAAATAAATAGAAAAATGCTACAAAGTAATTCTTTGAAGTGTGCGCGCTTTAATTTTCCATTACCTTTCTTTAACTGAATTATTGCCCTCATCAATTTAAGTGTTAACATCATTTGTTAACAAGTTGAAGGCAGTAGGAATAAATCATTTAACTACTGCGAAAATCGACTCAGCAAATTAATTAGTGACACCCATAACTAAGTTAATGTCCGTAATAAATCAAATTGAAAGATAGATAACATATTGATCATTTGAAAAACAAATCTTTATTTGCACGGTAGCGCGCATCAAATGAATTATTAAACTTTCATTTTTAAAAATATACCAAATATTCCATTAAACAACTTGTGAACGTGGAACAACGATGTCCCCCGTATGGCAGCTTATGGCTAAGGTCAATGTTTTACATATATATGAAGGTTAAAATCGAAGCTCAAGTGATAAAATCGACTTGTCTCAATGAATATACCTATGAAATCGAGATACAAATATTCCAAAGAAATAGACAAGGTTAAAGTTTTCTAAAGTGGGTCAAAACTCAAAAATCAAGGTTAAAGGGATAAAAATTATTATGGTAACCACGAGAAAACATTGTCAGAAGAAAAACACATGTGAACATCTAAAAACCATAGCACCAACTGTTCAAACGCTATGGCCAAGTTTGTAAAAAGTTGGCCAAACCCAAATGTCAAGATTACAATGTTAAGTATCCAAGGGATTTTTATGCGCCCGGATCGATAGATCCAGGGCGTATACTGTATTGTTTTTGTCCTGTCTGTCTGTCTGTTTGTTTGTCCCGAACTTTAACCTTCACCATAACTTTTGAACCATGAAAGATAGAGACTTCATATTTGGTATGCATACTCCAATAATTAGGTTCTTTCAAATGACACCAAGGTCAATGACCTTGTGACCTTGACTGTAGCTTATATGCTAAAAATAGCTTTTTCTGCAAACTTTAACCTTCGCCATAACTTTTGAACCATGAAAGATAGAGACTTCATGTTTGGTAGGCAAACTCCACTTATCAGGTTCTTCCAAATGACACTAAGGTCAATGACCTTGTGACCTCGACTGTGACCTTAATGCTAAAAATAGCTTTTTCCGAACTTTGTTGCCGCCGGGCGCATAGTGAAATACCAAAACCCCAGTACTAGCTACTCAAAGGTTATTCAAAGAGTGAGTCAAACTCTAAGACCAGTGGTATAAGACAACGTTGGCAGCTCTCCAACAGCAAGTGGTGGGGTCTTCACATGAATGAAACATTCTCGAGAGGGACAATAAACAATATAGAAAAAAACAACACCAAACAAACAAGATGACTTTGTTATCTTACTCTTCAATTGTTATGTTTTTAGTCTTTTATCCTTACAGGTTTACCCAATTTTACTGTCTTACATGTGTACTGCCACTCCCGCCTGTGTTGCAAGGTTATTCGCCCACTGTTGTTTATCATTTCTCACTTGTTTCTTTATTTTCCTTAACTTCTCATTCAAAAATCAATGATTTCAAGCTTTTTAAAATCAGATCTCTGTTACGCTCCGAAATTCTGATGGTTGGTGAACAGCAACCATCAGAATTGTAGAGCGTAACAACGATCTGATTTTAAGAAGATTGCTATAAACTGATAATCATTTTTGGGCTTAATTAGCTTTTTCCAAAATATATAAACATTTCTACTTATTTGATTTAAATTTTAAGTAGTGTTAGTTATACTGCATTCCTATAAATATAAGGAAAAATTCGTTCTATTTTCTAAAATATTATTCAAACAAGAGAATATTATACCACTGAAAAGCACCCCGTAATTGGTACTAAGTAGTACTTCAAGTAATCACACATTCAAACACGACTGTAATCCAAGCATAACCTAACATGCAAGGTACAATAACGCACTACATATTGATGAAAGAATGATAATAATTTAAACATTTTAAAGCTTTTTTCATATTCTCTTAAAATCCAGGTGACTTGAACATGTTATTTATTTCTGTATTTCAGAATAGAAAAGACGTCGACACAGAATATGTAACAATGGCGCAGGGTGTATCGTTTGTGTCCGGATTCGTATGCGGTATAATACTGTACTTTGTAGCATTTCCTAATCCTTCCGTATTTTTCTTCCAACTGGAGACTACGAATGAAGATCAAATTGTTAGGACATTATCTGAAAATTTTTATCTTGACGATGAAGAGGAAGAAATGACACATAGTCCCATGATTAATGATTCCAGATTTCATAAAGGTAGGATACTTTTACAGTGAATGAAATATGGATTTAACAAACAATAATCAAGTTCATAGTCCACTGAACTAATCAATTCAAAAGCAGAGCAAATACTGACTGATAAAAGCATCAGAGGTGGGATCGAGCGCAATGAAGGAGTAAGCATCCCCTGTCGACCGTGTGAAACACGTTAAAAAAAGGAGACATTTGGTGAAAACTTGCTTTTATCGAATTCATGATACACTGGTTTAAGGACAGATGATACTAACATATTTTTGTCAAAAAATTTGAAAATAACAACTTAATCATGATTTAATGAGTTGAATGAATAAGTTTCAATGCGTAATTTTTAATTTCACCTGATCCCTTCTCTGATGATTAAAGAGCTCTTTATAATGCTTTGCTGCTGATTTGTATTGTTTAAATGGACTTGTGAGCTTGAATACTCTGTGTTATCTCCATGCACATATTTCATTGAACAAAAAATATATTATACTTTTGTTGAGAAGATGTTTTAAAATATATATATTTTTTGGTAAAATATGTTCCAGATAATAATACTTTGGGCAAAATTCTCCAGGAGAGCGTTAGAGTCCACTGTGTTATATTCACCAGTGATTATTTTGGTGGAAGTCGCCTCTCGACAGCTGTTGCCAAGACGTGGGCAAAGAGATGTTCATCCGCCGTCTTCATCGGAAGGAAGACCAATAGACATTTCCCCTACCCCATGATATATACTAATTTCTCATTTTACCGGTCAGATCATGCGGCCAAAAGTGTATTTAGTGTTGCTGTATTAGAAACTTTAAACAGGTACTTTGATCGGAACGATTGGTTTTTGTTTGCTGCGGACAACACGTTTGTGATAATGGAAAATTTGCGGTACTACCTTTCTAAGCAGAATGCATCGGAACCAGAATATTTTGGAAGAATTTCAAAGGCAGCCAGAGGCATAGCTTGGCCTTATCACAGTGGAATAACTGTATTTAGCAAGGCGTCAATGAAGAAAATACAACATTCAGCCATCATTTCCTGCAAAGAAACAGTTTCATATGAGTTCACTTCAAGCTTATGTCTTAAACAAGCTGGAATTTCAGACAAAACACCTTCAGAACATTATGGGGAATCTATCTTCAATAATTTGCCCTTGTCGATTTCAGTTAAGCTTAATAAACCCCTAGGAATAAGTGTAAGTACATCTGTATTTGAAAAGATAACATTTAAATGGTAACTCCACTGATTTTCCGAGAATATTTAAAATTATTCTAAATAATCCCCTCAAAAAATTGTACAAATTTATACCAGAAGTGTTACAGAAATATTTGTAAATGTATTTCAAACAAAATGCTTAGCCACAGTACACTCTTGAATTTTTTTTCGTAGATCATGTTGTGAAAAGAAAGTCGTTTCATGACTAAAGCAATTTCTCCATACGCGGATCTAGAGGGTCGGTGGTGGGGGGGGGGGGGGGGGGGGGGGGGGGAGGGGGGGTCTGCACCCCTAGAATTTTCTGAGTTATTAAATAAATTCTGTAAATAACTTTTTATTCGCGAGAACTTCATTTTCGCGTAATTAAGCGAGGCTGTACTCGCGAAAAATGTTATTCTCGCGTATAATTTATATTATTATTTTTCTCTATTGCTGCCACCTATCTGATTGGCTCAAACTAGATCACACGATCAAGTTTAAAAATTGTTATAGACTGGATGTTTCTATTTAAAAAAATTATAAACCTGCTGTTTCTAAAATTGGAAACGTTCTTCTGTGAAGCAACAATAGTGCTGATGTCACAAAAGTCTGTATAAACTGTATGTTTCTAAAAACAGATACTGTAGCTGTTATTCATTACTATGACGTCATACATGTAATGCAAATGGCATAACAATGCCATATATGATAAGGTACTGAGTATTAGAAACATGGATTTTTAAGACATTTCTTATTAACTGATAAAAAAAATAATAAAACAATTGTAGCCTTTTGATTCGGTAAATCCCCTCGATATATAGACCTTACAGAAAGCATATCGACCTCGCACTTCGTGCTCGGTCGATATGCTTTCTCTAAGGTCAGTATATCTAGGGGTTGACCTCATCAAAAGGCTATAATTGTATAGTATTCCGTACGATTATTTAAAAAATAACCACAATTCGTGAATGTTTTGTCTCGCTAATAAATTGACAATGACTATCTCGCGACAATAAGGTGTCACGAAACTTAAGTGTTTTTCAATAACTACTTAACCAAGTAAAAAGTGACCTTGCCCCCCACCCCCCTTTTCGAATGAGTTTAGGTTTCTTTTTATGCTTGTCAAGAAATGTCATGATTAGAAGTTTTATTTTGGACTCGATGACCCCCCCCCCCCCCTTGGAAAAAAAACCCTGGATCCGCGCCTGTACCCTCTATGAGCCCATGCAAAACTTTCATGATCCCGTCAGCATGTAAAACTGTAGCTGTCCACAAACATTGATCTTCACCGGAAAAAATCCAACACCAGTCCCAGTCTGTTACTATATTGAATATTATTATTTTCTCAGGATTAAAGAAAACACTTTACTGTTCCTCTTTTAAAAAAAAAAAACTCTCAGTTTTTGAAAATAAGATCGATATTAGTTTTCACTTTGTGAGGATTTCTCATAAAAACGACTTCTCTTCTTAAAATGTACATGTAATATTTTGCATTTTAATTTACAGATGCAGCCCGATTCTAACATGATATCTGTACGTTTTCTACAACCTCCAGATATGTATGCGCACGAGTTTCTCGTCTATCACCTGAGGGCGTTCGGAATCAATAAATTATCTTCTTAATATCCTGATTGATTGATTGTTTTTCATTTGATACGAACATGCATAATACCTTTATGAAATTATAACTGTGTATATCAGCAGTTTTATCAAACTTTTCATTTTTCATGTACATTTCATTAGCGGGATATACTAATATTCCATAAAGAAAGCAATAAACACATGTACATTTCATTACGATGCCACTGAATACAATTTCTATCATTTATTTCTACTGTTGTTTGAAGAACCATTCTACCCAAATTACGGACATTCTGCAAAAATTCGGTTTTAAACATTTTGATTCCGTTGAGTTCAGTGATTCATTAAATCACCAGTACTGAATGAAAAGCAGGGATTAAGCAGTTTTGATTTTGTTGTTTTACTGAATTTGTAGACGAATCCCAAAATGCTTCATCTAAATGATGCTCTCCGCAAGTGGGTGACAGTAGTTGTAAAAGCTTTTACAATTCAACCAGAAGCCATACATTGATTATGATTGATTGATTGTACGTTGTTCTACGTTGTTCTAATGCGTTTGCAATTGGCAAAGGAACAGTCACTACTTATATATTTTTCTCTCATCAAATTAGGTCATTCGCATCTGAGAACTGAACCCATGACCTTCCGATTATTTGTTTTAGCTAGTAAAATGAAAATAAATCTATGTAGTACTGTTTCAGATGAAGCCTTATTAAATTGTTTATTTTTTCAAGATGCCATATATGGAAGAAGCGCGATAATGCTGTTACACTAAGCTAAGATTCCAAGTTAGCTCTACAGTTGCACTTGTAAATGTTTCAAAACAATAGCCAGCCGTTGAAGGTCGATCTCCAGTCAATGTCACTATAGAGATTTCCCGAATAGCCATGTGTGGGGTGTGTTCGAACCAACACTACATCGTCCTTGTTGACTTCAGCCACCACAATACCAGTGGTTGTGCGAATATTTGCTGACCCCTCGCATGACGTGTACATGCTACCTATTTGGCGGGAATTCACTGCGATTTCAGAGAAAATAAATCCATTTCTATCACAATATAGGTTCCAGGTGAATACGTATACACCATGGCTGGGGACTGTGAAGGCCCCAGTATGTGGATTATAATGTCCGCCAATGTTGGTAACGATGCCATCATATAGGATTGTGTGATCCTGTGTTAAATGGGTTTCATGCTTTTTCACATATGCTGAAAATGCTACCCCCACAGGCGGAGGAGTAGAAGGCGTGCCTGTTGAATATGAAAAATTTCTAATTGTTATACATGGTGATAGAAAAAATATTTATATGCAAGTATATTAGACCTTAGCTTTAAAAAATCGTGACTTGGGAATTATAACCTACTTTTTATGAGATTTCTTGAAAAAAAATGCTTCAAAGCATACATGGGTTGTTTGAAAATTTTTAAAATAGCTCTGTTTGTTTCTCAGTGATCCAGGCACTTGTGTAACCTTAAACTTTAAATTTCTTTAGAATTTGAATGAACTGTATAAAAATAGTCAATCTTTGTTATCTCGAACTCAGTGAGACTAATACAAAATTTGGAGATGTTGAATATGATACATGAAGATAGAGTATTGGGACTTGCAAATCTCATTGACATATCCATGGTATTCTAGATACAGTGTAGATACAGTGTATGGATGATCGAGAAAAAGAATTACAGCTTAATATATGTAAGGACCACAAGGTAAGTCCTTGCTTATGTAAACAAATTTTAATTAACAAAGATTTTTTAAAAGAATATCTTCGAAACGAAATGTATAACATACCTGTCAATAATCGCTTTCCAGAAGACCGAACATGATCTAGTCTGGGTTCATTTGATACAGCTATCTTCTTCAAAATACCACGAAAAACTAAAGAAGATTGCGATTGAACGGAACTTGCAGAAATTCCTCTTGTAACATTCAATGCATTATTTTTGAAATTGTCCGGTGATTTGATTGGATAATTTAATAATTCTTTTGATTGCGTATATCCTTTTTGGATTTCAGTATCCTTAGTGTCCATGCTACTGATTTTGATTTCAAGATCAAAAACTCTCTTTTTCAATTCAGCATTTTCGAACAGCTCCTTCTTATATTTTTCCTCATGCTCCACCAAAATGTTTTCAAGTGTGGCCATCTTAATATTCTGTAGCACGTTGATTTCCCGTTCTTCTTCAACCATCTTAAGAAGATCTTTTACCAAAACTTCTAACTGAATGAATCTGTCATGGTTTGTGATTGATTCAGCCGACGTGGAGAAAACCAGTAACAAAGAAAGGAAACACAGTGTGTGCAGTGCCATGATTATTTCCTTGTGCCATGAGATAACAAAACTTTGATTCTGCTTATCTATTTAGCGCTTAGGAGAGATCGCTCATCTGACATAATCGAAATTTATCAATTCTATGACAATACACAATTAAAAGAGAACAACATACATGTAAAACAAGCATTCTGAGAGTATTGCATAAGCAATACATGTCCCCTACCGGGTTCCCCTTTTTCTTCAGGATGTCATTTTATAATATGCAAAAGTTATATCCAAGGTAAAACTGAAGCGATGCGAAATTCAAACTTGATCTGTAACTCATCAACATACACTCACATACCAAAATTCAGCACAATATCTGCAAGCGTTTAGAAAAAAAGTGCGGAAAACCAAGTGGAACAAACTGACAGACAGACGGGGACAGACAGACAAACAGCTGGACAGACAGACGGACAGACGAAGAGGAAACCTAAAGTCTCCTCCGGTTTCACCGGTAGGGGACAAAAAACCAGCTCAATATCTGCAAGCGTTTAGGAGAAAACGCAGAAAACCCTGAAAAATTGAAAAGGCCGTAATTCCGTAAAAAATCAACGAATCGTAACGATATTCAAACTTTATCTGTAACTCATCATGATACACCGACGTACCAAAAATCAGCTCAATATCTGCCAGCGTTTAGAAAAAAAGTGTGGAAAACCAAGTGGGACAGACTGACAGACAGACGGGGACAGACAGACAGACAGACGGACAGACGGACGGACAGACAGACAGACAGACGGACGGACGGACAGACGCAGAGGAAACCTATAGTCCCCTCCGGTTTCACCGGTAGGGGACTAATAAATGTTGTTTTGACCGGTCGAAATGGGATTCTTACTCGTCCATGGAAAATACCCCCACCTCTGATGTTTTTAGAGGCTTAAGTTTGCCCTGTTCCATATTTTTATTATATACCCAATATGTATTGATCACTTAGTTTTAATTTAGATTTTATGCAATCACGTGACGTCGTGATCCATCTTTCCGGTCACCATACTTGTTTTCTGAATCGCTTCGCGTCTCGTTTGATCTGATGATCAGCGCCTGTCAAGATACGAGTCTTCAGATCAAGATACTGTTATGATAATATCATATTATTAATATATACTCAACTGTGTATCACTCAATTTAGATTTTATGCAATCACGTGACGTTGTGATCCATCTTTCCGAATTACCAGTACCACACTGTGATTTTCCGATTCCATATCACCACTCTCTGAAAATGATTAAGTAGTACGCAGAAATATGACGTTATTTTTCTCGAGAGTTAAAAAATTCCTTGACAATATGCTTTGTTAAATGGATAAATATCATAATATTGATATGTAAAGTGTTATTTTAATATATTTAGGTACTTGTTAACACCTGATCCCACTTCTGATATTTTCGAGGCCGGTGTTTTCTCTGCTCCTATTTTGTATTGTTTTATGGACTTTTGATCTTGAATACTTTTCGTTATCTCCATATGTTTCGTTGTTAGGGGGTATATAATAAATGTATATTATTATAACAGAAACTTGATCCCAAGGGTCTTAAAATTTTAAACACCTTGTCAAGGAACTTTTTGATGTAAAAGAAAAATAACGTCATTTTGTATACTACGTCAAAAATTTCAGAGAGTGGTGATAAAGACTTTCTGCAAAAACTGTGGATGTACAAGAACTGCACAAGGTAGTTTTTGAAAGTCCGGTAACCACGTCAGTACACTGAAATACTACATTAAAGTCCTCGGATTAGATCGTACTAGTATTTGCCAGACTGGATTCTATGTGCAAAAAAAAAAAAAAAAAAAAAAAACTTAGTTGACGTTCCAAGTCGGAACTATATCAATAAATATGACTCTTTTCAGAAGAAAATAGTCGTAATTAGAGCGTGATAAGATGGCTTTTACTCATGATTTATCATTTTCGGATTGTATGTGTACACGACTCCCGCATAAGATGAGTATGTACTTACCCAATGATATTTCTTTTACTTCTAGTGTCGGGCGCTTGCAGTTTAACCAGCCGCCGGAAACAATATTCATATCCAGGACTCATCACACTTGTGCCCTACAATGAGGTGTCCACGACCGATGTTTTAGAAATAAAATTAACAAAATCCACATTTAAAAAAACGCTTTGCCTGCCAGAAATATGCTATTTTCATTGATTTGTGATCGATCTGAAGAATCTCTTTCAAAAATCTGATTTTTTTTGTCCAAAATATGATAAAGAGGCATCTCATTGGATTGGATATGAGAATATTTTTAGATATCAAATTTCTATTCTAATTCTCATGCTTCAGTTTTGATTTTTCCAGTGTGTGATGGTCCCTCACAACGCAAGGACTGTTAAGTGTCAAGTTTAGGTCAAATTGCAGCCTTCCACCGGCAATGAGTGACGTGTCCGTATGAATGAAATATTATTAAGAAGGACATTAAATAAAAAAACCACACACAATTAAAACATACGAAAATCTTTTGTTATTTTAAATATTTCTAGATGTTCAAGTCGATTACTTTCTTGCGAAGAAATCAAAAGCCAAGGATTATACCAATGGTCAATATCAAATTTAAAAATGAAATATACAGCCGCGATATCGCCCTTTTCATTTACGATGTAAAATGAAGGGAGCAGCAAAACCTACTGGATGTGCACTAAAAAAAGCTGGCGTCATATTTTAGCGGCTTTTGCACGGACATCGATGCACTAATTTATGAATATCGCTAAGAGATCGTTCATTAATACGATATAGGGTGCGTAAGTGTGTAGCGCTAATTTATGAATACGCCAACAACTCAATACCTAGTGTTTGCGCTAAATTTTGAATACGCCATTTATGTACTCATACAGTATTCGGTCTCACATTGCCCCCTCCTAGACATCTGATCACATCCCTGTAATTTCGTATGGTCTGTGTTTGATGTCCTCCTAATATTATTGTATTGTTTGTAGATTTTTTTTTATATAGATCACCGTTATATCTTGACCTTTTACATCTTATTAATTACATGCACACAATAAGGTGATGGTGGCCCTAATTCAATTCGTTTCTTTCATATGTCGATGAAAAATATGAAAAGTACAGCTAGTCATACAGTTACGAAGTACAATAAATTCTAAGTGCTGAACCACAATCCTAAACATGAACAGAATTTCGATCAAATTGCGAATAAACTTGTATCAACTTTATATAAAATTTGAAGAATCTAATAGTATGATCATCGTGGTGTGCTTCAGTCCAAAGTCAAAGAGTATAATGCCATTAAATTTTATGCTATTTTTTTTTTTAAAATTTACTCAAATCATTTTATGATTCAAAGTAGTAATTTTCCGAAAAAATTGTGTCAAAAAGTAAAATAACTATCAAACATTCAATGTATACTTTTTTAATTCATTTTCTTCATAAGACTAATTTTTTGGTTTCAAAATAGTAACCATCCATTAAAGGTCGATTTCCAATCTGGAGAACTATAAAGACTTCCGAAATGACTATTACTGGAATGAGTGCGAACCAGCACAATATCACACTTATTTACTTCAGCAACAACGATTCCCGTGGTTGTCCGGATATCTGTAGCACCTTCACTAGAAGTGTACATGCTACCTATTGGGTTGGAATTTACAGCAATTTCAGAGAAAATGCGTCCTTCATTTGAACGACAATATAGATTCCAAAAAACGTAAAAACGTAGACCCCGTGTACGGGTGCTGTAAAGGCCCCGGTGTGTGGATTGTAATGATTTCCAATGTTCGTCAAGATGCCATCAAACAAGATTGTCTGATTAAATGGGTTTCGTGTGGTTTTAAATACACAGAGAATGCAACGCCATTAGGTTGAGGAGTTGTAGGTATACCTACAAAAAAAACCCCAATAATATCATCATTATTGAGTCATTGGAAAAGGCATTTAAAAATTCATTTATGACGTCCAATCTTTATCCTAAAAGAGTAAATGTTAAATAGTCTAAAATGTTTTTATTCTTCATGCAAGTTCATTTGATAGCATGTTAATGCAAAATCATAATAACTTATATATTAATTAAATTTTATGTTTCTTTGAAAGATATTTCGTATTTTCTTTGCCCTTTATTTAGTGTGTGTGCTTGATAATGTTTTGAATAAATCTTAATAGTAATTAAAATGAAAGTATTTAAATATCATATTATTATAAAAGTATTGTTCTTATCTCAAAAACAAATAAATTTTAGTACATAATTATATCAATATAAACGGATTTCTATTTATATACAGTTATATCAATTTAATTTTCAAGGATTCTAAAAAATTATTAAGAATACGTCTTTAGAATATTTAAAAATATTACCAGTCAAAAGTCGTTTGCGAGATGATACCAATGATTTTGATTCCACTTCAGACTCATTCAATTTTGGCGAATCTTCTGAATTTTCAACTTTTACAGATACCGTCCTCTCAGGCTGCATAGAATTCTCAAGTCCTTCGTTGTTAAAATGCAAGATTCTAAATTGAATATAGTTAATTAATTTAGAGTTAGATTTAATTTTTTTCACCAAAATGAGGTTCTCTTTTTGCAGTCTCTTCACAAGGGCATCCATCTTTTTAACTGATATTTCCATCTTATTGAGATTGCTTTTCAGGTCCTCATTTTCAGTCTTTAACTTCTTATTCTCTTCCTCGTATCTTGTTATTGTTTTCTCAAGATTCCATATCCTTTTATTTTGAAGAGTATTTTCGTGTTTTTCCTTCTCTTGCACCTCTAGCATTGTCTTTATCACATCCTCTAAATGAGAGATTCGATCACCGTCTGTGGCAGACACTCCATTTGTGGGGACGAACGCTGTCAAAGAAACCAAAAGCAGTAGCAAAGAAAGAGGCGCCATTACACCTTTCTCTTCCTTGAATGTCCTTATTTTACTTAGATGACCTATTAACGTCTTATCCAATATTTGCAAAATAAAGATAACAAAAAACTGGAACAGTGAAGAGGAAAAGTCATCTATTTTCTTCTGACTTTGTTAAAATAAGGTACAAAAAGGCTCGGAAATAAGACCAAACAGAATCTCAAATCAAAATTAGAACTTGAGAAATAATTCAATATGAAAATATAGGAGAGTGGTAAAAATATGGTAGAACTACTAATGACAATTGTGTTCTGAGACATACTCCTGTTACATCCATGTGCAACTTGATATCATCTTCGTGTTCTAAGAACCCTTGTTCATTTTCGATACGGCAGACAAAAGTGTATCAGGTAACTCTCTAGTTTCATTGAATTTGTCCCACTGTGAAGTAAACTGAACTAAATCCTACTTTGCACTGTTTTCGTCTGTTATTACATTATATTTACATTACATATGTTTTTTGCATATGAAGTGAATGGAAATCTATTGCATTCAAAACACTATAACACAGACAGGGTGCTAAAAGGTTAAAGCATGCGTTTTAGTTTGACGTCGTAATTGTAAAACGCAGAGAAAGTGCAACGTCACAAGCGAAAATCAAAACATCACGCTCAAATTGACCAGAAGCTGTTACGTTGACTGATCCATTAACTGTAGCTTACACGAGGGATAATACATAGGTTTTAAAGTAGGACAAAACACCAATTGATTTTATGTTAACCAATTTCTTAAGAAGTACCAGAAAAAAAGAATTATATTACTATTTCGACAACAATGAATGATCCTTGTATGAAAAATAATAAATTTTGGCATGTTTGTATCATATTTTGTGAAGATATTGGAGAAACCTATATATTGATCACTTAGGGGCTTAAATTTTGGACCTTGTTTATCTAAATGCAATAAACAAGCATGTAACAGTCTATTACAAAAATGCAGTGTAACCATGGTTCCATAAATAGTAGAGGGATGATATCTCTTCAATTATTATGTTTTTTTTAGTCTTTCATCCCTACAGGTTTACCAAAATCTCAGTTTCACTGAATTACTGCCTTTCCCGCCTGTGTTGCAAGGTTATTCACCCACTGTTGTTTATCATTTCTCACTTGTTTCTTTATTTTTCTTACTTTTTCATTCAAAAATCAATGATTTCAATCTTTTTAAAATCAGATCGCTGTTACGCTAAAAAATTTTGATGGTGGGTGAGCAGCGACCATCAGAATTTTAGAGCGTTACAAAATCTGATTTTATGTATTCTTATGCTTATCTGCAAGCTCACCGCAGCTTGTTTTTGCTAATTTTGTATAAGTCAAATAAAAGACTTTCATAGAGATGAATAATGTCATTTATTAAAATGACGGTATAAATGTGAACAATTTAACAAACAAGAAGGGGATCAGATTCACAAGCTTTGATTAGCAGTTACGTAAAATATGATAATGTCTGATCCCCCAAAACTGACTAGAAAAAAAGTATCAGGTTGTTATGTACTAATCATCATTTTTAGACTTATTTAGAATGTTTTAAGATTTTTCCATAATATAAACATTTTTACCTATTTAATTTAGATTTTAAATAGTGTTAATTATACTACTTTCCTAAAATATCAAGGAAAAAATGTTTTTTTATTCTGTAATGTTAATTCAAACAAGAGAAAATGAAACCACTGATAAAAACCTCGAGACTGTACTAAGTAGTAATCATACATTCAAACACAAATGTTATCCAAGCATAACCCATTATGCAAGGTAAAAGAACGCACTACATATTGATGAAAAAATGATAATGATAAAAGCATTTTAAAGCTTTTTTATTATTCCCTTAAAATCCAGGTGACATAAACCATGTTATTTATTTCTGTATTTCAGAATAGAAAGGACGCCAACACAGAATATGTAACAATGGTGCAGGGAGTATCGTTTGTGTCCGGATTCGTGTGTGGTATAGTACTGTACTTTGTAGCATTTCCTAGTCCTTCCGTGGTTTTCTTCCAATTGGAGTCTTCGAATGAAGATCAGATTGTTGGGAAATTATCGCAAAATTTTTATCTTGACGATGGAGAGGAGGAAATCCTACAAAGTTCCATGATTAACGATTCCAGATTTCATGAAGGTAAGATATACTTTTACAATGAATGATATTTGGAGATAACAAACAATAAGTAATGGATATATGCCGAATACTGTTCTATATGTAAAATTATCAGACTGTTTGAGGCCCGTTAGGGCTGATAATTTTACATATAGAATAGTATGAGGCATATATCTTACTTAAAACATTGCCATTTAAATGTCCAAAAGTTACCTGGAGAAGTCCGATAATAACACAATGGGAGTTTGGGCATCAATTGTTTTTTTACCCGTCTAATAAGTAGACAAAAGAAATGAAACGGTGAAAACAGTGAGTGAACTCTTGTTTCATTTCATTCATTCAATGGCAATCGTTTAGCTAAGCAGGACAGGGGTCCGGTGGTGAAAGATTTCCTTTTAAATTTGGGACTTTTTCATTTATTTTGTGCATAAATTGAAATTGATACAGATTTCATTTTTTGGAAAGTAAAAATGGAGATTTTCATCCTGGAATTCAGTTTTTATATAATGGAAATTCTCAGGTTTTAAAAGTGCAGCCACCTGGAAACAATCCTTATAAAATTAATAAATTTGCCGATTATTTCTCAGAAATGGATTAAATTCGCTTATTCAAAGTGCTGTATCAAAAACACTTTTAAAAGATGGGAAGTATTAATTTTGAGGAAGGTTTAAACTCGATTTCTTCATGGATTTGCTATTTTGTATAGCAACTTGATTTCTTTGCGATTGCCTTCCCTGAATTTTTTTCCTAACATTTTTTTTTTGGTTTTGGACATGTTTAATCTTTATTTCAATCTTATTTTTGTTTTCTATTTTGTTATCATTGCCGTCCGATAATATATTACCAGACTGGTAATTATTATTATCGGACGGCTACAGGTAAACTTTTAAACTGCAAGAACAAAGGCATGACGTCACAGCAAAGTTTTAATCAAGGTTATTGTCCTTTGATTCTAAAAAAAATCAGAAACAGAGAAAACACTGACTAATAAAAACATCAGAGGTGGGATCAGCCGCCATGAAGGAGTAAGCATCCCCTGTCGACCATGTGAAACACTTTTAAAGAAAAGCAATTGATGAATACTTACTTTTACTGAATTTATGATAATTTGTTTAATTTTGAATATGAGGAACTTTAACATTTTTACAGTACGTCTGAACACGTACGTACAATGATATCTTAGATTAGAAACTTATTCCAAAAGATTAAATTTCGAATAAGAATTTTACTGCATGTGTGCCTGTAGATATTTTGCCAGTAAGTAAAACATATAGCAATTAAAATACCTCAATATTTGGGTATGTTAAATGGATTTCTTGAAGAATGAAAATTCAACTTTTCTAAAAGTTACTCTAACGTTGCAAGCATTTTTTCATAATTTCCCACCTAACGATTTAAATGGAATACACTAACAAGCAAAAGTACACGAGTTAGTTAAAAGTAAAGTATACTGTATGAATTCTGATTATTTATATTCACCATCTAAATGAAGATTATTAGCATGTGATAGTCAAGATATAGAATTCCACTATTCATCAGGAACTCAGCTGCTTCAACATAGTTGATTCTCTTCCAAAGATATACTGGTTGGATACGAATGCCATTTTCGTAGGTTGATGTTTCATCATGTATTTTGTTGTTTAAAATGACCGGTTAACAGGGAAAGCCTACTCCCTTATGGTACCTGATCCCACTTCTTACGATAAAAGAGTTCTTTACAATGCTTTGATGTTTGATAATGATATATATATTTTTTTGGTAAAATATGTTCCAGATAAAAATACTTTGGGCAAAACTCTCCAGGAGAACGTAAGAGTCCACTGTGTTATATTCTCCAGTGATTATACTGGTGGAAGTCGCCTCTCGATAGCTGTTGCCAAGACGTGGGCAAAGAGATGTTCATCCGCCATCTTCATTGGGAGGAAGACCAATAGACATTTCCCCTACCCCATGATACATACTAATTTCTCTTTTTACCAGTCAGATCATGCGGCCAAAAGTGTATTTAGTGTTGCTGTATTAGAAACTTTTAAAAGATACTTTGATCGAAACGAGTGGTTTCTGTTTGCTGCGGACAACACATTTGTGATAATGGAAAACTTGCGGTACTACCTCTCTAAGCAGAATGCATCGGAACCAGAATATTTTGGAACAATATCAAAAGCAGCCAGAGGCATAGCTTGGCCTTATCACAGTGGAATAACTGTATTTAGCAAGGCGTCAATGAAAAAAATACAACATTCAACCATCGTTTCCTGTAAAGAAACTGTTTCATATGAGTTTACATCTAGCTTATGTCTTAAACAAGCTGGAATTTTAGACAGAACACCTTCAGAAAATTATGGGGAATCTATCTTCAATAATTTGCCGTTGTCGATTTCTGTTAAGCTTAATAAACCTTTTGGAATAAGTGTAAGTTTATCTGTATTTGAAAAGATAACATTTAAATGGTAACTCTACTGATTTTCCGAGAATATTTAGAATTATTCTAAATAATCCCCTCAAAAATGTACAAATTTATACCAGAAGTGTTACAGAAATATTTGTAAATGTATTTCAAACAAAATGCTTAGCCACAGTACATTGTACACTCTTGATTTTTTTTTATAGATCATGTTGTGAAAAGAAAGTCGTTTCATTACTCAAGTAATTTCTCCAAACGTGGCTCGAGAGGGTCGCGGGGAGGGGGGGGGTCGATCTGCATCCCTCTGGAATTTTCTGAGTTATTAAATAAATACTGTACATAATTTTTTGTTCGCAAGAACTTCATTTTCGCGTAATTAAGCGAGACTCTACTCGCGAAAAATGCCTCTCTCGCGTATAATTTATGTTATTATTTTTCTCTGTTTTTGCCACCTATCTGATTGGCTCAAACTAGATCACATGATCAAGTATAAAAAGTGTTATAGACTGGGTGTTTCTATTTTAAACATTTATAAACCTGCTGTTTATAAAATTTGAAACGTTCTTCTGTGAAGCAACAATAGTGCTGTTGTCACAATAGTCTTTATAAACTAGATGTTTCTAAAAACAGATACTGCAGCTGCTATTCATTTCTGTGACATAATAATGGAAATTAAGAAGGTACTGAATATTATAAACATGGATTTTCAGACATTTCTTATTAAAAACTGATAAAAAAAAAATAATAAAACAACCGTAGCCTTTTGATTCGGTACAATCCCTAGATATATAGACCTAAGAGAAAGCATATCGACCTCGCACTTCGTGCTCGGTCAATATGCTTTCTCTGAGGTCAATATATCTAGGGATTGACCTCATCAAAAGGCTATAATTGTATAGTATACCGTAAGATTATGTAGAATAATAACCACAATACGTGAAGGTTTTGTGTTGCTAATAAACTGACAATGTCAATTTCGCGACAATAAGGTGTCGCAAAAATTAAGTGATTTTCAAATTACTACTTAACAAAGTAAAAAGTGACCTTGCCCCCCTTTCCGAATGAGTTTAGGTTTCTTTTTATGCTTGTCAAGAAAAGTCTTGGTTTGAATTTTTATTTTTGACTCGATAACCCCCCTCTCCCGTAAGAAAAAAAAATCATTGATCCGCGCATGTACCCTCTATGAGCCCATGTAAAACTATCATGATCCCGTCAGCATGTAAAACTATAGCCGTCCACAAACATTGATCCCCATCAAAAAAATCCAACACCAGTCCCAGTCTGTTATTATTTTAAATATTGTTATCTTTTTTAGGATTAAAGAAAACATTTTACTGTCCTCTTTTTGAAAAAAATTTCAGTTTATTGAGAAGAATATCATACAAGTTTTCATTTTATGGAATTTATCATTGCAAATAAAAATACGATTTCTCGCCTTAAAATGTAAATGTGATATCTTGTATTCTTATTTACAGATGCAGCCCGATTCTTACATGATATCAGTACGTTTTCTACAACCTCCAGATATGTATGCGCAGGAATTCCTCGTGTATCACCTGATGGCTTTTGGAATCAATAAATTATCTTCTTAATATTCTTATTGATTTATTTTTTCATTTGGTACGAACATGTACATGTAACACCTTTATGAAATAACTGTGTATATACAAGCATGCCAAAATCAGATCAAAACGTTCATATATAAATATTTCCATTTCTAATTTTATGCAAATTATCCCATGTTTCCAATTATTGTTGATGCCCTGACATACCCTCCTAACTAGACAGTGATTCCTAAAAATAATTACCGGGATACGTTTTTAATGTTTAATCATATAATATTAAAAGATTTTTTCTAAATATACTATTACTTTTGTCCCTGTGACCTTGAATTTTAACCTACTTTTCTAAAATATCATCTTTCCTAACAACTTTTGATTGAGAAGGGATTGAGCTTTCATTTTTGACATTTGCACTACTTGTGGCAAGATGTTTTCGAACACGCTATAATTTTTTAACCCTTGACCTTTATGTTTGATCTAATTTTCAAACATTTTAATTTTGATGATTACTTTTGAATGACATACATGAACGATAGGAAGTTTATATTTGACACAATATGACAAAATATCTGCATTCAATCCAAAAAAACATTGAAAGTGGGGGACCACAATTCTTTTGAATTTGCTCTTTGTAATGAAAAATAACTGCATGTTAAAAAAGGAATGGAAAAGTCCTTTGGCTGCTGTGAATTGCACCGCAAACCAAGACTCTGTAATAGCTGATTCATGTTGTATAGTTAGAGTGGAATATTAACATTCACTTTCCTTTATCAATCTATTACTCTTTTATGGTAAAATTCGTCGGAGCCATCTGTATCATTAAGGGATTCAAAATTAGATCTTTTCTTAATTGGGAATCAAGGTTATTGAGCAGTAAAAAATATTATTTCGTGCCAACGCCTGCCTGATAGGGATCCCTGGGTTTAAAACGGTCTTATCCGGAAGACCCGCAACGTTCACTTTAAAGTGCCGAACGTTTGGTGAGGAAACAGTTGCTATATTACCTATACTAAAAATATTTAGGTTGTAGTCGTAGACACGGTTTGAAGTACGTCTGACCTGTGAATAGCTAGTAAAACCAAAATAAAATTTACGTAATTTTAGCTAACGCGATATTGAGTTGTTTATTTTGTTTATTTTTTAACATAAGTGTCATTTATGGAAGAAAAAAAAGAAAAAAAGACAAGAGAGATAACGCTGTTGCCCTTAGTTTCCCAGTTAACTGTGCGTTATGCTATACATGTACACGTGCGCGCCTAAAATGTTCAAAACAGCAGCCAACCGTTGAAGGTCGATCTCCAGTCAAGGTCACTATAGAGATTTCCCGAATAGCCATGCGGGGGTGTGTTCGAACCAACACCACATCGTCGTTGTTGACTCAGCCACCACAATACAAGTGTTTGTGCGAATATTTGCTGACCCCTCGCATGACGTGTACATGCCACCTATCTGGCGGGAATCACTGTGATTTCAGAGAAGATAAATCCATTTCTATCACAAGTTCCAGGTAAATACGTATACACCATGGCTAGGGACTGTGTGTGGATGTAATGTCCACCAATGTTGGTAAAAATACCGTCAAATAGGATTGTGTGATCCTGTGTTAAATGGGTTTCATGCTTTTTCACATATCACGAAAATGCTACCCCCACAGGCGGAGGAGTGAAAGGCGTACCTGTTGAATATAAAATATTTCAAATTGTTATACATGGTGATAGAAAACAATTATATGCAAGTATATTAGACCGTAGCTTTAAATTAATCGTGACTTGGGAATTATAAACAACTTTTTATGAGATTTCTTGAAAAAAAATGTTTCAAAGCATACATGCGTTGTTTGGATTTTTAAAAAATAAATCTGTTTATTTCTCAGTTATCCAGGTACACATACAATTGTATAACCTTAAACTTTAAATTTCTTTAAAATTGGAATGAACGAGCACCAGGGATGGGGTCAATTACATAGGAAAGTAATTAATTAAATTACAATTACTTTCCAAAAACTTCAATTAAATTACCATTACCATTACATGAATTTTGAAATGTAATTAATTAAATTACAATTACTTTGCAAATGTAATTAATTAAATTACAAATTACATTCAAGAATACACCTATAAAAGTAAATAGTCATGTATATTCCTTTACATTTATAACAGTTTATTTTACAACATTTTTTACAATAATATTATTAAAAGCTTCATACATTTTTCAAATATTGTGTCCCCTAACCTAATATATCTTCGATTAATTTTAAGATTTTCATGCCATGCTGAAGATTCTTTCCACTGGAGTATTTGTGAGAAAAATGCATACATGTAGATACTGACTAGTAGAAAGTTTACAGATGGTTTTACCTTAGTTCATGTGTTTAAATTTTGGAATCAATTTTACTTTCCCATAAACAAGTTATTTTATGCTAAATGTACTTTTGATGCTTTTATTTGCCTTTATACTTCCTTATTTCATCATCATAGGTTCACCTCAAAATGTGGGTATTTGACTTATTCTGTGCCAAACTACAATTTCAAGTCAAAGAGTATGACTATAAAAACACCAACAGACAAAGTCAAAGGTTTGAAAAATGTTTATTTAGGAATAAGTATATGACCCCAAGACACTAATTAGCACCTGTTAATAACTTCCAACACAAGCTAAAGATATGGCCAACAAAAGGATTAGAAGCCATTGGACTTCTTATTCTCATATGGATTAATTAATTAAAAATCAAAATATGAATTTTATTTGTAAACTTTACAAAGATTAACTTGATTTAAAACGGTTTTTTTTAAATGAAAAGGGGCATTGTATTTAAACAACAATTGACATAAAAAGGGAAGTTCTTTTCAAGAAATTTTACTATTAAGATGTTTGGTCCAAAATATAAGTTATTAACCTTTCATATGAAATTGAAGGAGAGGAGACTATTTTCCATTTATTTAAAACCAGTGTAATTGAATGTAATTGAAAAGTAATTGTGAATTACATGCCTTTTTGCAAAGTAATTAATTAAATTACCATTACTTGTAATTGAAAATTTGGTCAATTACACATTACTTTCAATTACATCAAAATTTGTAATTAATTACAGTCAATTACCATTACACATTACCATTACCCCATCCCTGACGAGCACACGGCGGGTGTGACCGGTCGGCAGGGGATGCTCACTCCTCCATGGCACCTGATCCCACCCCTGATGTTTCGGAGGTCCGTGTTTGCTCTGCTCTTATTTTGTATATTTGTTTAATGGACGTTGAGATTGAATGCTGTTCGTTATTTCCATATCCTTCTGTATAAAATAGTCAATCCTTGTTATCTCAAACTTAATGAAACTAATACAAAATTTGGAGATGTTGAATTTGATAGAGTATTGGGACTTGCAAATCTCATTGACATATCCATGGTATTGTGGACACAGTGTATGAATATCGAGGCAAAGAAGTACAGCTTAATATATACGTAAGGCCCACGAAGGTAAATCTTTGTTTATGTAAACAAATTTTAATTAACAAAGATTTCGGAGGATCGAACATGATCTAGTCTGGCTTCATTTGATACAGCCATCTCCTTCAAAATAAATACTACAAAAAACTGAAGATGACGATTGAACGGAACTTGTAGAAATTCCTCTTGTAACATTCAATGTTTTTTTTTTTTTGAAATAGTCCGGTGAGTTGATTGGATAATTTAATGATTCTTTTGATTGTGTATATCCTGTTTGGATTTCAGTATCACTAGTGTCCATGCTACTGATCTAGATTTCAAGATCAAGAACTCTCCTTTTCTATTCATCATTTTCGAACAACATCTTCTTAAATTTCTCCTCATGCTCCAACAAAATGTTTTCAAGTTTAGCCATCCTTACATTCTGTTACACTTTGGTTCTTCTTCGTTCTTCTTCAACCATCTTAAGAGGATCTTTTACCAAACATCTATTCGAATGAATCATTGAGTCATTGTTTGTGATGGATTCAGCAATTGTAGAGAAAACCGGTAACAAAGATAGGACACACAGTGAGTGCAGGCCATGATTATTTCCTTGTGTCATGAGATAACAAAACCTTGATTCTGCTTATCTAATAAGCGTATTTTATTTGAAAGCACCATTCACATCCAACTTGCCCTTCATTGTTAAAAATATATTATTTCTGCAGTAATGGTTTTCACAAAAAAGGACAAAATTAAGCAGGTGTATTTTTAAAAAAAAATATGTACATTTTATACCAATTATCTCAAAAAAAATTTTTTTTAAATATTTGTTTTCAAGTTATACTTTCTATCTGTTCATAAATAATACCTTTATAAACTTTAGAACTTTTTAGTTTATATCTCAGTAGTTTTAAAGCTACTTTGAAAATAAATTTTCGGACATGTTGACCTTTGACAAAACCTTAAATACATGCACACAATAAGGTGATGGTGACCCTTATTCAATTCGTTTATATCATATATCGATAAAAAATATATGAAATGTATACTTGTAGTCTATGAAATCAGGTTAAGAATATACAGTTTCGATGTACAATAAATTTTAAATGCTGAAACTCAACCCCCAACTTCAAAAGAATTTCGATCAAATTGCTAAAAAACTTGTAATAATAAAGAGTCTATGATAATGAAATGAGTCAAACCAAAGACAAGGAAATCAATATAATGCCATTAAATTTTCCGCGAATTTTTTTTTTCAATTTATTTGATAATTTTATGATTTAAAATAGAAATTTTCCGATTTTTTTTGTCAAAAAGTAAAACAACTATTGAACGTTAATGTATATTTTATTTAAATCCATTTACTTCAGCAGACTATTTTTTTTTATTTCAAAATAGTAACCGTCCATTAAACCATTAAATGTCGATTTCCAAGCAAAATTATTATAAATACTTCCTATAGGACCATACCTAGGATGTATTCTAACCAATACAATATCACCCTTATTTATTTCAGCAAAGATTATCCTCTTGGTTGATCGAATACCATCTGCACCTTGACTGAAAGTAAACATGCTGCCTGTGTGATAAAGATTTACAGCTATATCCGAGAAAATGCGTCCCCCGTTTGCATGACAGTTAAGATCCATGTAAAAAAACCTATACACCTTCTTTAGGTGTTGTAAAAGATCCAGTATGACTGTATGTTGTAATGACCTCCAATATTTGTCATGATACCGGTAAATTAAATTGTTTGATTTTCTGTTATATTCGTTTTGTAAGTATGTAGATAGACAGAAAACGCAACGCCATTACGTTGAGGTAAAATACATTGATATTGACATTACTGAGATATTAGAAAACGCATTTCAAATTTTTTGTACGATATTCAACTCTATCACAAAAGAGACATTGATAACTAGTCATAAATAATCGTTTCTCCAGTATCTCAAACATATTTGATTTAATTTTGTTTGATTCCTTACTGTGCTCTCCAGTTGTGTGGTTGATAATTTTATCAGTAAAACAGTATAATATACAAACGATAGTTCAAGCTTCTTCTTAAGTAAACGATAAAATTTATAGAACTAAAAAAAATTACTTGTCAATAGGCGTATATGAGATGATGCAAATGATACTGATTCCACTTTAAACTCAGTCGATTTCAGCAATTCCTCTGATCTGGTACAGTCTTTTAAGGCTGCTTAAGGCTTTTTTTTTGTTTGTTTGTTGCAGTGTAAGGCTCTAATCTGATAATTGTTTTCTAAAGAACAGTAAAATGATGGATTTTGGCAAAAAGTTAAAATCCTGTAAATATCCTGTTCTTTTTAAGACTTTAAATAAGTCAAAAAATGTAATTTTCATCAAAATTTAGCGATTTTTTGGCCATGAAAAATATATGTTGGTTGCCATGGTAACCCTGGACCGTATCAACCATTGTATTATGAATTTTAGTTTCATACATCAATGTATGCATGTGTGCCAAGTTTCATAAAAACCCAAGACCTAGCGTGCCACTCTTCCTATATATAAGAGTTAAAATGCTTACAGAGAATGGCTATTAAACTCTTATAGAGATATCCAGCATCACTATATAAATGTAGCGGTGAAGGGCTTCAAAATATAGACCTTTACTCGGAACTCAGGGTGATTGAGGGACCAGGGTTCTTTATCGTGTCCCCCCTGTGCAGTGTCGGGTGTAAATACGTCAGTTCTGGAGTTGTGAATTGTGAAAGGAAGAGTTCTTTACCTCGCGGGTTCGAATCTTACTGCTGGATGTGGAGTGCGTAGCTTCGAATGAGGCTTTATAAACCTATGTCCCTTGTCGCAATAAGTGCCAATTTTTTAAAAAAAGTTTTAGGACAGATGGTACCATTCTTATTTGGAGGTGATTTAATATTATGTCACAAGTTTTAAAAAAGTGGATAATCCTTAGACTTTTCTCCTAAGAATTGGAAATTGAAAAAGACTTTTAAATATTAGTAATATTTCCATATAAATACAAATATGGTCAAAACACACTCAGTAAAGGTTAACAGATAAAATAAAATTGCAAAACATGTAACCTTGACGTTTAAAGTGTAATATAAACTTTAGAAAAATATACCGAGCCAGGTGAATTTTATTACGTGATATAGCTGATTTTTGACATTTTGTTTGTATCATCTGTCAAAAAGTTTGAAATCTTAATATCTTTTATATGAAATAAGATTTTTAATTAATTTTTGGTGTAAAATGCTACTAAAATATATAAGTTGTAATATTATAGAGAAAATTATAACTCCAAATCCGTCTCCAAGTACCTTTAACAATGGAATATAAAAACCTGTGATCCATATATATACCTTAACGATATAACATGAATGGAAGATAAACCTATTTTGTCTCTATGTCTTATCATTTGCACGCACACAATCAGTTGAAAGTGGTTTAATATAATGCAATCATTTTATTGGTCAATTAAAATCGAGAACGAACAGTCTATGCAATTAGGTTAAGAATGTATAGTAAATATATGGTACATTTTTGTTTCATGTTGGTCATTAACACCAAAAATAAAAATTAAAATATTATCAAATTGCTAATAGGCTTATATCTGCATATAAAATATATTATAATAAAATAGAACATATAATTATATCGTAGAATAGGCTGTACACTGAATTCAGAGGACATGCTATCATTTATTTTTTCATGAATATTTATTCAATGCATTAATGAAATTTTTAGATTGAGAGTAATATTTCCTTGAAAAACAACTATTAAACACTTAATGTATCTTTTATTTGAATTTATTTTTCTTCAGTTAACCCATACACTAACAGAAGTTGTTTTTGTTTCAAAATAATAACCAACCACTAAAGGTTGATTTCCAAGCTGGATGACTAAGGAGACTTCCGGAATGACCATTAATGGGATGCGTGCGAACAAAAACAATATCACCCTTGTTTATTTCATCCACAATTATTCCTGTGGTTGACTGTACGCCTGTTGATCCTTGACAAGAAGTTAACATGCTACCAATAGGATTGGAATTTACTGCAATTTCAGAGTAAATGTACCCTCCGTTTGAATTACAGTACAGATTCCACGTAAAAACGTACACCCCGTGCATAGGTGCAGTAAAGATACCACTGTGAGGATTGTAATGGCCTCCAATGTTTGTCAAGATGCCGTCAAACAGAATTGTCTGATGCTCTGTTAAATGTGTTTCGGACGTTTTTAAATAGGCAGAAAACGCAACACCATTAGGTTGAGGAGTTGTAGGTATTCCTGTAAAAATACATTAATAATAATATTGTTGGAGGTATTGGAAATCACATCTTAAATCTATCTATGACATCTAAACTATAGTATTCCACAAAAGAAGAACAAAAGAAGTCATAAATATTCGTATGCTCCAGTACATACTAGGTAAAACATATTAAAATTCTTAATACTTTCTAGATTTCTTGGATTTTTGGGATGATTTCTTCAATTGATTACTAGTAATTATCTTGTTCATAAAATTATTAAAGCGTCATTCTTATCTCGATAAAAATTGTTCCAAAAATGTGACAAAATTGTATTTTAGTATTCGTAAGTCTAAAAGAAGATATTTCAAGTTTATACTTAAGTATTCGAAAAAAATATAAACTGAAAAAAATTACCTGTCAGGAGCCGTTTGCGAGACGAACCCAATGATTTTGACTTCACTTGAGACTCGGTCACTTTAGGTGTTTCTTCAACTTCCACGGATATCGACTTTTCAGGCTGCATAGAATTTTCAAGTCCTTGTTTATGACAAAGCAAGTCCTTAAATTTAATATAGTTTATTAATTTACCGTTAGATTGAACCTTTTCCATAAAACTGATGTTCTCTTTTTGCAGTCTTTTCACTTGGGTGTCCATTTCCCCAACTGATATTTCAATCTGATTGAGTTTAATTTTCAGGTCTTCATTTTCGGTCTTTAACTTCTCATTCTCTTCCTCATATCTTGCCATAGATTCCTCAAGATTCCATATCCTTTTATTTTGAAGAGCGTTTTCCCGCCTTTCCTTCTCTTGCATCTCTTGCAATGTCTTAATCACATCCTCTAAGTGGGAGATTCGATCACTGTCTGTAGTAGAAAGTTCCTTTGCAGCTAGGATCGCTGTCAAAGAAACTAACAGCAGGAGGGAAGAAAAAGGCGCCATTACACCGTTCTTTTCTTCTCTGAATGACCTCTTAAAGTCTTATCTAATATGGACCAAATGCGGACAATTGATTTGAATAGAGCAAGGTAAACAAGTGTACTTTTGAGTTTCATTTCAAAAAAAGAGGGGGCCGTATGCAACACATTCTAAACTGTTAACTGATATGTACCGTGAACGAGTCCTGTGCAAATAAAGAACTATTTTTATCAAATTGAGAATTCATAATATGAAAGATATCCTATTCTGAAATGAAAAAAAATATAAAAAAAAATTATATCATTTTATGTAGAATTTTTGAAAGTGTTGAAATAGCAAAAAACTGGGTACTCATTTTAATTTGGAAAAATTAAAACGTCTAAAATATTTCCTGATTTGTTTTTTTTTTGGTTTTTTTTTGTGAAGAGCTTTTATTTTTTTCTTTGTCTTGCATTTTTGGTATTGCTTTTAATACACCCACACATTGGGCAGTGATATCAGAATTCATAGCAGAAATGTTTATGCCGTTGTTGAGAAGATCATTCGTTGAGAGGACTGGCAATAAAACAGACGGCCCTTTCACCTTCTACTTGATCATGACCTTTAATGTTTATCTATTTAACAATAATTTGAAGACATTATCAACAATTACAAATGTATGTTAAGAGTACAAGAGTTATCTTGTGAAGTTAGTGGTTCTGTTACAATGAATATTGTGAATCATCGTAATTGTACGGAAACCTAATTAGGAAAATATTTTTAAATTCGATATAATTGTCGAATTTGTTATAACGAATTAAATTCGTAATAACAGTTTCGTAGTCGAATTCGTTATAACGAAATCAGTAATTTGTTGAATTCGATCGTTATAACATTTGTTTTTCATTCCTTCCTGAAACAAATTATACTTGATAAACATTGTTATTATTAATATCACATGAATTTTTCCAAATTTTAATATATTTCTATTAACGTTTAGAGACAATTTCTTCCATATCTTTCCATACAAATATCAATGAATTCCAAGAAATTGAAATTAAAAATATCTGTACAATTTTAAATCATTTTTGCTTTTGTTGAATTGTAGAACCGTTCTCCTTTTATGTAATATTCAGACAGATTAAATGCCAGATGGCTAAGAGTCAATGTGTTTATGACTGAAAAATAAAATTCCTTCTTTCTGATATAAGCTAATCTAAGCAATTGTTAATTTATAGCAATTAAATTAACATCCTTTTTTGACACATTAGAACTTTAAAAAGTTTTAGTTAAAGTCTTGTAAAATAATACAACCTTTGCAGCTAAGTTTTTAATTAAGGTTAAATCCAACCAGTTTATGGCTTTTTATTATTATTTCCTTCTTTTATTATCCTAAATTCTGAAACACTAGAAGCATAGGAATGTGAAATTATATTTACTATAGTATATTCATATCCAAAATTAAAATGCACACACTTAATTGGCACATTTTCACAACTTGATTATGCCATGATAGTGTTTACACTTAGAGCGGAATTGCCTGCAATTCTTTATTCTATGGCAGCCTCCATCAGCCAGTTTACTCATAACTTTGATGTCTTATTACTGTTAAAATGGCAGTAACATGTAAAATTCATTATTGACCATTCAATGAATGAAATATCAAAAAGTTTTTTTAGACCAAACGTTTCCTTTAAATCATTTTTGCTTTTGTTGAATTGTAGAACCGTTCTCCTTTTATGTAATATTCAAGATGAGTATATGTAATAAATGACAAAGTTTTGAAAGTACGGTTCTTGTTTATTTGGCTCCGATTAAAAGTCTTGAAAAAGCTGAAATATGTTTTTCTTTTAGTTAATTAAACTTTAATTAAAATGGCCATGGAGAAAAAACTTTAAAAAATGTTATATTTTCTTCTTTTAAAATCACATCAAATACATTAAATTTAATCAAAAAATGGATATCCATTATCAAAACAGATATTTCCATTATAATTAGTTTTATTTTCTGAGCATCATATTCTGGGATTTTTTTGCTTCATTATTTTCTACCTTATATCTTACATGTACCCTAGTCGTCGTCGACGTGGCGCAGTGGTTAAAGCGTCTGCTCTAGATTCGCGAAGTAAGGAGGTAATCCTTACGTGGCGGATTCGCGAATCCCACTGTGGGACGTTGAGACTGGTCCCTCGGACGAGACCGTATAAACCGAGGCCCCGTGTCGCAGTAGGTGCTGGAACGAAAAAGATCCCTCCCTGCTCAATGGCCCTGAGTGCCGAGCATAGGACAAAATTTGAAGCTCTCCACCGGCATGTGGTGGAGTCTCCATATCAGTGAAAAATTCTCGAGAGGGACGTTAAACAACGTACATGTAAACAATACACAATCAATAAATCTTACCCTAGTCTCCCCAACAGGACTTTTTCATGTCTCTTTTTTGCAACTAAAGAACCGTCTTCATATCATCTTCTAAATGAATGACTCTATAAAAGAACATTGGTAGCAACTGCTTTTGTTGAAAAGACCCAAAGCAAATAAAGCTATAGCTAGCTTTCAGTGTGTTAACTCTCATGCAACAAGGTAGCATTACACATAAAATTTACTAGATTTCAACTTAAACTTTCAAAAGAAATAAATATAAAGTACACTAAATTACACTTCGGCCGCTGATTTCGGTATTGATTTGATAAAGAAGAATTCCATCTCTGACTGGGGACTTCAACTTGAACTTCTAAAAGAAATAAATATAAAGTACAAAAAATTACATTTCGGCCGCTGATTTCGGTATTGATTTGATAAAGAGGAATTCCATCTCTGACTGGGGATTTCAACTTGAACTTCTAAAAGAAATAAATATAAAGTACAAAAAATTACATTTCGGCCGCTGATTTCGGTATTGATTTGATAAAGAGGAATTCCATCTCTGACTGGGGATTTCAACTTGAACTTCTAAAAGAAATAAATATAAAGTACATAAAATTACATTTCGGCCGCTGATTTCGGTATTGATTTGATAAAGAGGAATTCCATCTCTGACTGGGGATTTCAACTTGAACTTCTAAAAGAAATAAATATAAAGTACATAAAATTACATTTCGGCCGCTGATTTCGGTACTTATTTGATAAAGAGGAATTCCATCTCTGACTGGGGATTTCAACTTGAACTTCTAAAAGAAATAAATATAAAGTACATAAAATTACATTTCGGCCGCTGATTTCGGTATTGATTTGATAAAGAGGAATTCCATCTCTGACTTGGAATTGACAATCTTGTATGATATGCGTTTTCATTTTTAATCTTTTGAGTATTGAACTTTTTATTATATTAATTAAAACCTCATATTTAAATGTGATAAAAATAAGCGACTAAAACACATTAAAATTTTTTATTGAAAAATGAATAATATTTATTACTCTTACTTACACAACCACATGTTTAATTTTTTATATGAAAACGCTCTTTAGTAAGTTAATATTGCAATGAATGACAATCGGACCCTGCATACCGGTTTAGTTCCTGCAATTTCTTTGTATCTCAGATAATTTTTATTTATTATGTTTTTTAATCGTTTACACACTTATTTTCAAGCTTAGAAGTATGCATTATTGAAAATAGAAGGATGTACTTTCCTTTGAGTTACTTTTAATCATAGGATCATTTTCAAGAAAATATGGTTGCAATGTTTTTTTAACTTGTAAAATCGTTAGATTTCGAGATGACGTAAAATTCCATGGTATTTCTATTCTATTCATCTTCACACTATCATTACTGTTCGAGGGCTGCAAATTTGTAGTTATAATCGGAACTGAGTGCCATTGAGCAATTAGGCATTGTTTCATGCCAGCTCCTACCGAGACAAGGGATCTAAATTGTTATGGTCTCATATGCAATCAAAGGACGGGCCTCTTGGTCCAGAAGTAGATTCGAACCCGCGACTAAAGACTCCGCGACTCCAGAGCAGACATTGTAGCAAATGCACTATGCGGACGACTAGATACATGTATGTACCAATGCAAGAAATAACAGCCCTCTTCAGCTGAAAATTCAAGCTACCCACATGGATTTGCCCTCATTAATTTTGATGTTTTTTTTTTATCAATTATGGCTTTAAGAGAATGTCACACATTGCAGCCCAAGGATACCTCGGCCCAATGACATCTCGGCGCAACATTGACGTCTCGGCTCAGGTGGGTCGGCCCTACTCCAGCATGCTAGAGGTTCACGGCGAGATACTTTTGACTTTGCGCCGCGTAACCTCTAGCATCCATTGTAAAAATTCTCGCCACTGACAACCCCAAGTGGAAAAAAATATTTTATTATGAAATATGGCTTTGTATATGAACAAATGGTACGAAATAATAAAATACTCAATATTTACGATAAAACTTACGCAATAAACACTGTTTAACTCTCGTATTAGCAATAAATCTATTATTTTTTAAATCGAAGCAGAAATTGAAACAATTTGTCTGTTTACAATTCGGAAATGGAACTCAGAAAATCTGACAAAACGAAACCAGTGTAATGCAACGAAAATTTCGTTTTCTGACAAGCAATCCGCAAAATTAATGTGGAGTCAAATCGAAAGTACTTCTGGTGACAAATTGGAATAATGACAATTTTCATTAATTAACAATAATGCACACTGAATAAAATGGATTTTATTATTTCTTGTGACTTTCATACCCCATGCAAACACGCAGGTGCCTGAAAAGAACTTGGATTTAATTCTACAAGTGGTAATCCTACTTATACATATTAACTTCTCTTTCTAAGGAAGAAATTCTTCAAAATCACCTGTCAGTTTTGAATACTTTTAATATTCCACAGAGCCAAAATGAATTTGAACTACCTTATATATATTAGATTCCGAAACTTCATAAGAATCCTTACAAACAAAGATACATTGCAGGTTCCGGTAAAGGTTCAACCAAGCCTCTTTCGTTACTTCTCACTAAAATATTTACAGTAGTGAAGGAAAAACTTCAAGAGTACTGTACAACTATATATTCAAGAAGTGGTGTAAATCAGATGTGGATACTTAA